AGTGACTCATACTCCCCCTGCTCGGTCCTGCTGGCTGGGAAGATTCGGCAGTTTCAGAGCCCTGCTGCAGAGGCTGTGTGAGCTGAGCAGATGGCACAAAGCGATAGACCCACAAAACCCAGATCGAACTAGGAACGAAACTCCGTTCTCGCTGTCAACCAGAGCCGCTAACAGCACCGAGCTTTGCACCGGTTTCCTAGTTCTCTTTCCAACCAGCTGAGCGACACAAGAAGCCAAAAGAGTCACAGATGTCTCATTATGGGGGAGCCAGAATTAGCTGAATAGGAACGTGTTCTGGGCCAACTCCCCCACGCCCAGCACCCCCAAAGACCTCCACCCAGAGGCTGCTTTATTGCAAAGATTTAGCCCCGCAGCACGACGCACTCCAACTGACCTCCTTTGTGGGCAGTCGCTGCCGAGACGCCAAGACCTGAATGGACCAGCCCACTCCCCGCTCCTCCCCAGGATGGGTACAGGGGATGACACACCTGGAGCAAGCAGCAGCTGCAGGGCTGAGCATTGTATGGAGCAATCCATCAGCGCAGCAGGGCAACAAAAGGACAGGGCAGCAGCCGTCACCTTCCGAGGAGTTAAGCAAGGAAATCCAGGGCAGTGGTAAAACAAGCAAGTCCGCAGCCTGTTTTGCTCAGTCCACCCTGCAAGGGGCAGGTTCCCAGAGGAACGGGTAGAGGAGCAGGAGGGGAAACCCGTTTCCAACCCTCTCCAATTAAGGGATTTATCGTTATTCAGGGTTTCAGACAGTTCCAGAGCAACACAGTGCTTCAGAGATTAAAGCGACAGAGTTGGGAACAGAATTCAGGTTTCCAGACTCCGAGTCTGGTGCCCTACCCACTAGCCCAGGCTGTTTCTCGGACATCAGTCAAATCCACACAACAAGAAGCACGTTGCAGGTGGATCTCAGAAGCTCCGATAGATTCACTGGACGGAAAGATAGTGCCGGCGTAGAAGGCCGCAAGGGACAGAGTGGGGTGTGTGAAATGGGACCACTTGCGGCCTACAGAGGAGTCTTTTCAGGCCCAGGGCGTGGTTCGCTAAGAGGATTAAAGTGATCACATCAGCAGGAAACACTCAGGGCTGTTATGGTTACCACTGATAATTAGTTTCTGGTTCCAGTTAAAAGGCAAAGAGGAATTGTAAGTATATCTGAGCTCAGTCCCCTTCCGTGTGAATCCTGACAGTACAATAGGACAGTTAGAACAGAGCCTGCTCCCCCAACAAGGATAGGAGACGGACATCTCCTAGGGCCACAGGAGCGTTCTTTGTACGCCCACCTCGCACGTAGCCTGGCCACGCGTTGCTGGTCTGCATATGGCAGGGCAAGCCACATAGTTTAGAGCAAGGGGACTAGGAGCCGGCACGCCTGGGTTCCATCCCAAGCTCTGCTGGGAATCCCAAGGTCAAATTCCATAAGGCAGCATGGCGGACAGTGTCAGTTCACAGCTGGAACCCGCGACCCAACAGCTGCAGACAGCCCTCTGGCAGGCACCGCCTTCCTAATGCAGGGCGCACGTCTTCTGCCAAGGCCATGGAGCTTGAAGTCCAAACCTCTTCGCAGAGCCCTGCGACCTCCAATCCCATATAGTCCAGACCCCCAGGAAGGATCATTGCGCTGTTGGCCATGGCTTCATTTTCACCCCCTTTCCTTGTACAGATGTTTAAAGTGTCAGAGGCTGCCTTTGAATTTGAGTCCCTGGACTGGTAACTCTGAATTCTTGTTGGAAACACCGCTCTCCTCTTCCAGAGCCTGACCTTTAGTCCAGCACTCCCAGTCCAATGGGAGATCACAAGGCTAAAGCAGCCAAACGTCATTTTAACCTTTTCGTGGTGACAGAACCCCACTATTGCAATTCCAGGGGAGGAATGATTGGTGGAGAGGTGGCAACATCAGATTATGGTCAGAAAGCCCACAGGGGAGTTTACCCACTAAATTATGCACAGTCAGAGACCTCACACACACTACAGGCTAGCTGGCAAGGTTTAGCTTTCCGAGCTTCAGTTTGACTCCTGCCCAGTCCTCTTATTCATCCCCTCCTACACTCCCCCCCACCCCCAAGCGTCTCATCCCTCCTCCCAATGGACTTCCACATTGCCAGGCCGCAGGAGGACCAGCCACGACAATGCACGCTCCGACCCAAGGAGCTCACAGGTGGAGAGTTCGAGCCCGGTTCCCAGTTGTGCAGCCCTGGGTGCTAAATAGTGCCGTTATCTCACCGCTTTCCAGCTCCTCGGGTGACTGCCACAGACGGACCTGGCACGCTCCGGAGAACATTCCCCAGGGAAGGTTAGGGTGATCTATTTGTAGTGCTGAGAGGCCCGTTGGCTCTTACAGCACAATCTAGACAGATATGGGTGGGAAGGGGAAAAAAGCCAAGACACTGAAAGGGGAAGTGACTTGCTCAAGGTCACACAGCAAGTCAGTGGCAAAGCCAGGGCCCGTGGCTCCCACCCCAGCGTCCTATTCACTGGGCGAAACTGCATCTCCTGAGTACAAACCTGCCTCAGAGGTTAATTTCCAGGAATTATGTAACTATTCAAGGACTTGCCTAAGTGGGGAAGGAGAGTGGGGAGGGTAAAGCCACAAAGCTGTGTTAGCAAAGCAGAGCAAATTCAGACCCAGGAGGTGCTGGGCAGGTGTCTCAGGCCTACAAGTGTTTAGTTGCTCAAGAACAGGTGGGGTTTTTACAACAGGGGTCATAGCTCAGTGGTTTGAGCATTGACCTGCTAAACCCAGGGTTATGAGTTCAATCCTTGAGGGGGCCATTTAGGGATCTGGGGCAAAAACTGGGGACTGGTCCTGCTTTGAGCAGGGGGTTGGTCTAGATAACCTCCTGAGGTCCCTTCCAACCCTGACATTCTATGATTCTATGAACAGTTACTCAACTGCAGACATGTTTTTTTATCTCCCCCTCCCACATTCTGTTTGGCATTTAAATGCTGCCAGCTCCTAATCAGGCCATACAGGAGTTGTCCGCACAGAACACAAGCTAACGAGGAATGAGATCCTGAGCCATTTCTGCTGGTGCCTGACGTTGTGGGATACGCACGACTGGTCACTAGCAAATCTCATCCAAGTTCTTGCTTTCCTCACCTGTGAGGTCTTAGTAGGCCAGGGCAGCCAAAGTATCCCAGGCTTCTACACTGCGGCCTCCTCCATCTTTGAGAGAGAGAGAGAGAGAGCCCAAAACTATGGCTCCCAGCATGCAATGCAGCCAGGCCACTTGGATCAAGATGGAGCACTGCAGGCCTGGGCCTTCCTTCCAGAGGTCACACCTCTGTATTAAAGACAGGCAGCTGCAATGGGTGACTGTCAGGGAGGGCGGAGAGTCTCCTGGCATGATGTTAATGTGGCCCTCAGATGGGCAAAATCTGGGCACCTGTAGACAGAAACTATGAACATATGCCACATCTTAAACAGCTGGATACAACTGCTGCTTCCAGCGTTTTTCCAGTCACACCCCACCCCGATCACGCTTGATATTCTGTTCTCATGCTCAGCATTCAGGTATTACATTAAATCACCCGACACAGACGTAACAGAATTAGAAGTGAGGAAGGTGCAATTACTCCCAAGGAGTGCAGGGACACCCCTGTACATTAACAAAGGTGGTATTTCCCCCTCCTTTTGCAACCAACTGAAAGCAAGACCCAAGGAGAGACAGGATTAGAAGAATAAAGCCGAAGGGTTTACCCCGGTCACCATAAGCTTGGCTCATTTGGCTTTTGTTTCAAAGACTGAAGAATGTGCTAATTTTAGCCTTCTAGGACTGGTCGCTCTGCTTCCTCTGCTCACTTGCCTGGCTGTGCAGACGAAACTTCCGATCCCACCCCCCCCGCAGCAGCCAGGCCCCAAACAGCTCCCCGCTTGGCATTTTTGATCCTCAGCGATTAAACACCACGCAGGAGCCAAGTAGAACACCCTTGGAAACGCTGGGAGCAAGTCAAACTAATCCAAACATAAAAGTGTTACTCAATAAGCTGCTCAAGTGGATTGTGATGAAACTCAACTGGCTGGGAGTCCAAGTCACGCTGGCTGAATTTGACCTGAAGAAGGGCTCCGTGCGGCTCAGAAGCTGGTCTCTCTCACCAACAGAAGTTGGTCCAATAACAGATACTGCCTCACCCCCCTTGCCCCTCTCCCGTCAGAGAGCCTTCCTCCCGATGATCTGCTTCTGCGGAGCCCAAGGAACCCAGCACACGACCAGGCCCGCAGAAGACGGCGGCTGAGCGTTCTTGCCTTCGTTCGGCTCACAGGGAACGCTGCGGGTACCATTTAGCACCTCTTCCGGGCGCCCCACCGAATGCGGCGCGAGAAACGGAACTTTTCCAACTGGGCCAGGTCGCCCAGCAGTTACCGGGCCCGTGGAGATCGGCTTCCCCCCACGGACCCTACACCCCGCTGGGGCCCACCGGGCTGCATGGAGCTAGCGTGACCAGATGTCCCGATTTTGGGGGGCTTTTTTCTTATATAGGCACCTATTACCCCCACCCCGACTTTTCACATGGGCGGTCTGGTCACCCTACGGCCCCTTGGAAAGCCCAGCCTAGCCCCTAAGGTCCCCGACCCCTAACTCCCAGTCAGCCCTTCGGCCTCAGTGGCGGTGGGCCGGCCGGGGGGGCACAGAGCTTGGGGGGGGGGAGGCTCCATGGCCCTTTACGCCCCTCAAAGCCCGGAGCAGGACGGGGAGAGCTCAGCCTTTCGGGGGGGGGGGGGGCAGCCGGCTCCCCCAGAGATGGGGGCAGCAGAGCGGCCATGCGCTGCGTGCAGGGCCCCCCCCCCCCACCGACACACACCAGGGGGGAGGGGTGCGTGTCTGCAGCGGGGGGGGGGGGAAATCACCCACACACTCCGTGGCGGGGGGGCGGCCTGGAGCACGGCTGAGCCCCCCTCCCATGCACGCGGGGGCCCCTGGGAACCCAGGGAGCGCCCCCCCCCCCGAGGTCACAGCCCCCCCCCCGCGCGGCCCCGGGCGCGAGCCCACCTTGGCGCCCAGCAGGCGCGCGGCCGCCCGCAGTAAGGTCATGGCGAGCGGAGCCGGGGTCCGGGCGCGGCGGGGAGCCGGGTGCTGCAGCCGCCGGGCGCGGGGGGCCTGGGCCGGCGGGGACCAAGGTTGAAGAAGGAGGCCGAGGAGGGAGCGGCGCCCACGGGGTGGGGGGGGGAGGAGGGGTCCTCGCGAGCGCGACAGCGAGTGGGGGGGGGGCGGGAGCGGAGCGCGCTGGCGGCTACGGCGCCCCCCCCTCCCCGGCGGGGAGGTCATTAGCATAGCCACGCCCCCGCGCGGCCGCGCCGCGCTCGGCTATTGGGCGGGGTGGCGAGACGGGCGGGGCCTTCGCGGGGGTGGGCGGGGGGAGGGGACTGGGTATAGGTGGCCAAAGCAAATGCCTGAAAACTCAGTGTAACCCAATGGGACTTGCCCCCTCCCCTCCCCCACCCGGGCTGGGCTGGAGGGTGGAAGGGGGAACGTATATTCAGTTCAGCCCGGAATGGGCCGAGTCATACGGCCTGGCCACGGGGCGGCCAACGGCACGGCGTGGCTTCGGGGCCTGGCCGTGGGGCGCCCAACGGCACGGCGTGGCCTTGGAGCCTGGCCACAGGGGGGCCAACGGCACGGCGTGGCCTCGGGGCCTGGCCGTGGGGGGGCCAACGGCACGGCGTGGCCTCGGGGCCTGGCCGTGGGGGGGCCAACGGCACGGCGTGGCCTCGGAGCCTGGCCACGGGGGGGGCCAACGGCACGGCATGGCCTTGGAGCCTGTCCACGGGGGGGCCAACGGCATGGCGTGGCCTCGGGGCCTGGCCGTGGGGGGGCCAACAGCACGGCGTGGCCTGGGGCCTGGCCGTGGGGGCCAACGCACGGCATGCCTTGGAGCCTGGCCACGGGGGGGCCAACGGCATGGCGTGGCCTCGGGGCCTGGCTGTGAGGCGGCCAACGGCACGGTGTGGCCTCGGAGCCTGGCCACGGGGGGGGCCAACGGCACGGCGTGGCCTCGGAGCCTGGCCACGGGACGGTCAATGGCACGGCGTGGCTTCGGGGCCTGGCCGTGGGGCGCCCAACGGCACGGCGTGGCCTCGGCGCCTGGCCGTGTCTTAGTGAATGATACGGCATCGCCTCAGGGCATCATGACATCAAGATGAAGTATCAAGGTGGAGCCTCAGAGCCTCGCTGTGGCGCGGCGAATGACACGGCGTCCCCTCAGAGCCTCGCTGTGGCGCTGAGACGCACAATGGCGTCATGTGAGGATATGGTGACAAAGCATTATGGGAGACACAGCGAGATGCCACGGGGCAGCACCTGCGGATATCACTCGGTCGTGGTGCTGAAGTGCCTGTCGTGTCAAAATGCAAGATGTTGTGTCACATGATGTCCTCGTGTGGTGATGTCATCACGCCACGCCTCAACCCCCTCTGACAGGGAATTTCTCACATCATTTGGGGATAATCCCTTTCCTCCTGCGCCTCCCACCAATGCCCTGCAAAACTTGGAGCACACTGATTGAATCAAGGCCAAAGCTGGAAAAAAACCAGGACAGGTAACGACACTCCTTACAATGCTGTCTAGAGGCAGTCTCTGAGTAACCTTCAGGTAATGCTCTCCAAGGTGGCCAGTTAATCACTAGCAGCATGGGAAACAGAATGCACAGCCTTTGTCTCTAAAAATATAGGCCCATATTTGGGGAGCTAAAGTCAGACCTGCACTAGCTCCATATCCCAGCAACACGGACTTATATGAGAGTAGGCCCGCTGTGTCACATAGTCCTAAAATGCAGCCAAGATTCACCCTTTGGCCCGTAACCGCTGGAGTTGGATAAAGTGGAATAACTGCAATGGAAAATCAGCCAAGATACAAAAATGAGAAAGAACTAAGTTTGAAGACATTTAATTCTGGAGCACGCAGTTTTGTCTGGCTTCTGGTAAGTTATCAATATGGTCCTTACGGCTCAGACTCTACAAATGTAACTGGTGCCTGTTCCTCCCTGCATCTTCAGTGCCACGTGTGCCCAGCTTATGGACTGAAAGCTGCAGCCCTCAGAGCCAGCACAGCTTTGGGAGAACAGGCTGGAGTCCAAGCGGTCTCCTTTCCATGCACACATGACTCCTGAGTCACATGCTCGCCTGGAGAACAGAGCGCGAAGCCCCATTTCTAGGGTCCCGAGTGCAAGTCCCCATCTGAGGCTGGAAAAATCACAGCTTGATTTTCAGCAACTCACCTGAGCTCGGAGGCATTCGGGGATTCTCCTCCCCTGGACCGATGCAGCTGGGACTGGGGTTTCCTGAGTGCATTGTCCTTAGTGGTGCCGAGCAGAGTCTGCATCAGCCAGTGAGCACGCTGCAGCTCAGTGCTAAGCTGGGCAATGCACTGAGATGACACCAAGGGCACTGCCCATATGGTCTGATACGCTGCATGTGGCAGACACATGACAGGACAGAGGGTTGGTGGGGAGGGGAAATGAGGTATCATAAATCGTTAAGTCTCCTGCAGTTACAGATCTGACTGCTGGCCTCTGTCTAGCCCAGTGTACTCCACTGCTGTCCTGGATCAAACCATCAGGTTTGGTATTCCACTTGCTGCGAGGCTACTTCACCTCTGCTGCACCCACCTACTGATCTCCCACTCCAGCAGGACCCTTCCAAATTTCCTCTCCCCCAGAGAATGTTTGTAGCACCCTTCTGTGCAGAGGCTTTTTATTGTGGCCTCTGACCAAGGCTGAGAGCATCTGACGCTGAGGGCCTGGGGAGACAAAGGGAGAGGACAACTGCTCTTTCTGGGCCTACCTAGATTGTGGATGATCTGGTCTCCAACCCCTAGGACTCCATAAGGACCCGCCCTGGGTTTTCCCAACACTCACTGAGTAAAGCAGGGTGGGGCGTGGGCTTGATCCTGATGCGAGTTTGAGCCCTCTCTCACAATCGGATTTATAGCCAGGAGTGGGGTCTAGAGAGCCAGGACTCGGCTTCTGTCCCTAACTCTGCTGTTGCCTTTGCTACTGGTTTGTCTCTCTGTGCCTCGGTTTCCTCCTCTGCATAAGAGGGGTAATTCCCCGAGCTGACGAGGATCTGCGTTCCCCCAAGACGGTGATTTCAGTGCCAGCTACTAGCACATGCTATAAGACATGCTGAACCCCCTGCCGCGCTGGGGTTGCTGGATTAGCGGGTTAAATAGTTGGAGCTATGAAGTTTTCTATTAATTTCTCAGTCCATCCTGGGCCGGCAAAGCCTGCTGGTGTATTTGGGCAAGGAGCTCCTGAAAAGGGGAGAGGCCAAAAAAGAACTTGGGTCACTGATCACGAGACAATGGAAGCGGGGCAGGGTGGGAGGTTCAGCAAAAGGCTGCTGGAGTTGGAGGTGATTGGCAACCTTGGAACCGTGGGCAGAGGAAGGGCAGGCTACACACACAAGCTGGGGGCTGGAACGACCCGACTGCTGGAGGTGGGTGGGGAGAGTTAAATCTCCATGGCCCATTCAGACCTTATCCTCTCCGCCAGCCAGGGGAAGGTTTCTGTGACAGCGAGACCTGCCCCATTAGGACCTTGGCTGAGAGCCACCAGATCCATGCCCAGAGCTCCCATCAGCTGATCTTGACTTTCAATCCCTGGTGCCCTGGCCTGATGACCTTGCAGTGAAACATGCGGCAACCTACTCCTTGTCTCCCGAGTCACACGCTCTCTCAGGAAAAGGGTCGTTTCTGGTGTGTGGAAGGGTCAATATTTGTTCATGTCTCAAATATTTGCTTAAACTTGGCAGTTGAGAGAGCAGGACAGGAGCCATTGACAAGAGACAGGGGGCAGGCCCCTGTGGCGAGGTCAGGGAGCATTGGACATGCTGCTGGTAGAAGTCATCTTCCCCCGCATCCATCAGCGGGCATAGAAAAGTGGTAGAGCCACAATCACAGCTGACACTACGGCAGCAAACCAGCGAGGAAGAGAGCTGCTCAGGGACCAGAGCGACCTGCTGTCAGTCCAGAGAGGAAAAAGGCTCTCGGGGAACTGGGGTGTTGAATACTAACACTAAACTATTGTTTTATGGGTGCAAAGTGCTAAACTACTGCGCATCTGGCACTGGCTAAGCTCTCTGGGGAAATGAGGGCATAAACAGCCTTGGAAGGGTCACTGAGCCTGCATGGGTGGGCGAGCCTCACTCCATGCCCAGATGCGATTGCAGACAGACACTTGGCTCGGGTGCGAGTCAGGCCAGCACCTCTGGAGAGCAGAGCGGCTGAACACCACCACCCCTTCCGCAAGCAGGTCAAAGCGACCCGAGCTGGGGCTGCTCAGATCTAGTGCTAACCCTCAGGCAGACAGGCAAATGTGCACAACAGCTGCGTAGACAACCTTGGCTATTGTTCAAGGTTAATAGCAAGAGAGCTCCTCCCAGGACTGGCCTCTGGAAGGACTTTTTCCTTTGCTCAACCCTTCCCTGAGCAGCCACGAACTGAAGGCACCAGCCCAGAGGCCCTACAGAGCCGCTCCAAATTGTGGCTGATGGTGCAGCCACAACCCCGAGCCAGCACAGGGCTGTGCAATGCCCCTGGGAGTCCTGTCATTTCCAAGGGCCCCTACTCTGGCAGGCAATTACCCCACACTGAGCAGCCAAGCACTGAGAAGCCTATTGCTTCAAATGATTTAGGGCAGCCACTGGCCATGGTGAAAGGCTCATTGCCTTTATGTGCGTTGCTGACAAAGGGGGAGGCCCAGCCTGGAACATGAGGTTGTTAAACTCCTTGTGGAGCCCACACACCGTCAGCCCAGCAAGCCCCTCCAGCAGGGGAGGGTCAAGTTAATGCCAGCAGCTGACCTGGAGCAGTGAGCAAAGGGGAGGGGACAGGGAGGAAGTGGGACTGGGGGGGTCAGGGCCTGCATTCCCCCACTCCAGGAACAAGGCATAAATGGAGGGTCGGGCTGGTGCAATAGGTCCCAAAGGCAAAAAAAAACCCAACCCCAAGCTCCTTCTGCTTCAGCCATGTTCACTTCCAGTGAAAACTGGACCAAGGGACCCTTGTTACCTGCCCTGGTGAACATGACCCTGGGCATCTGCCCCACTGGCCAGGGAAAGGTCATATGTGCCTGAGTTTTTCCATGTTCATCACAGGCCCCTGGTCAGAACTGGTCCTTTGGGGGCCCATTAGCAGCAGCTTTCACTCGGTCACCCCCAGCAAGGATGGGGTGGCAGGGGCACCCCCTCCTCAGCCTGGGCACCAGGGGTGTGTGTGTCACTTAACAGCCATTAAAGCAGCTGATTGCCAGTAAAGCTGCAGAAGCCCTGCACCCCCCCAACCCCTTCAAGAAACATTCCACAGAGCCAGCACCTTTGCCCTGGGACTTAGCCACTCCTGCGTGCGCGACATCCCCTACTGCACAGAGGATTCGGGTCTCAGCTGCCATGCCTGCCTCTTTAGCTCAAGCTGTAGAGGCTTCTGGCTCTGGAGAGCCCTGGTTTAAGCCCCGCTGTTGCCCAAGATGGTAGCTGTCGCCCATGCCTGGAGCAGGAGCAAATCGCTGGTCTGTGGCATTGCCTAACACTGGTACTGCCCTCGCCTCGGTATTCGCTACGCTGCCACAGGATAGTTGAAGCTGCTAACAGCTTCCCGCTGCTAGCCCGGGCTGGCGTGGCCAGGGATACAGTGCTGAAAACTGTCCCATGGACTAAGCGCCATAGGGCCCTTCAGAACCCACTGCTCAGACCAATCACCCCTACCCCTCATTGCACAGGGAAACAGGACCATTGCGAGCAGTTTCAACTGCAGTGTGGCCAGAGGTTTATTCTACTGCCCTCTGACGGAGACCACAACAATCTGCACCCTAGAAAGAAGTCCTCAGGAAACAGACCTGAGACATTTAAAAACAAGCCCTTCAAAGTAGCACGACTCCCCTTGGAAAACTGGATCCCTCCACCCTGCGTGTGCAGAGGCTGCTAGCAGAGCGCCGACTCGGCCGTGTCTTCGCCGGCTGTCATTTGAGCTCAATACTCATTGCTCCTGCTGCTGGTGGCTGGAAGTGTCCCCTTTGGACGGATGACGGTGGAGAAGTCTCTGTGCGGTCCCCTTCCCCTGGGCCCTTCAGAACAGCCACAGAGAAGTGAGTTGCCCAAGGTCACGGTGAGACAGTGGCAGAGCCAGACCAGAACCAGAGTCCTGACTCCAGCTCTAGCACTGTAGCCCCTAGAACACACTGCTGCTCAGAATAAAACCCGGGAGGTCTCACTCCACCAGCCCTTCTACAGCTCAAAGTCCTGATGCCCATGCCTGGCTCTGCCCCCCAGAGAGCATCTCCTCTCAGAGCTGGAGCAGAACCCGGTTCCTGGTCCCCTTTCCTCTTCCCATCAGCTGACACTCCCACCCCAAGACAACCAAAATAAATAAGACGTAAAAGCACCAGAGTAGGTGGGCGGGGGGAGGAGGGGTCAAATCCAGACTCAGGACTCTACAGGCACATCTGTCCATCTCCTCGGGGAAGGGATGAGGGAGGAAACATCGACAGCCTAAAAGCAGATGGGAAGTCAAGCGATCCCAAGGGGCAGGAGAAGGACAACGTCTTTCCCTCTGAAGGAAGTTTCTGTCCTGCTTTCCTCCCCAGGCATAGTTTGGGGTTTCCAGGGGACACCCAGCAAGGTTCCCAGGGCAATGCCGGCAGGTAGGGGAGGAGTCCACTGCAGGGGATGTCCAGTTTGATCCGGGCCTTCGCACTTCACAGCTCATCGTGGGGGATGTTCAGGGCATGGTCACACAGATCTACGCATAGGAGCACAAGCCATTAGAACAAGGGACTTACCAGACTGGATCAGAGCCGAGGTCCAGAGAAAGGATAAGAACCCTGCAGGAGACAGTTGTGGGACAATCTCCTCCTGACCCCCCTGCCCCACCCCCTGCGAGTTAGAGGTTGGTTTGTGCAGTGAAGCAGCAGGGCTCACGTTCCTTACGGAACTGGCTCTAACCTCTCTCTGGCTGGTCTCTGTAGCATGTCAAATGTCTAATCCCTTTCGGAATCTTGTTTTTGGCCTCAGTCAGGTCTTGTGACAGTGAGTTCCACCAGCTAACTGTGCCGTGTGTACTTCCTTTTCTCAGCTAGGAATTTGTACCTTTCGATCTCACTGAATGTCCCTGTATTATTTACATTACGGTAGCACCTGGAAGCAGGGATCAGGTCCCTTTGTGATAGTTTCCTACACCTGAAGACAACTGGCTCTGCCCCAGAGTTTACAGTCTAAGTATTTTGCTGCCAGTCCTCAAGCTGATTCGGTTTCCAAATCAGATCTTCAGTAACATTTCTATTCAACTGTAGGAAACAGACAGCAGCTACCATAAGCATGTCCCTTTCCAACTGCCTTAGCAGCTCATGACCTGGGAAGTCTGCAGCTTCCTTGTCCCTTTTAACTTGTGAGATGATTCCCACATACTCCTCAGTCTGTATTATTCCAAACACCACAGACCCGCTCACAGCCGCTTTGTTGACCGCAGAATTTCTAGCATCTTTCACACCAAAGCACTTAATCTACCTGGAGGATAATTTCATCCTCACTGAAATGCAGCCACCTCTAGGGTGGGATGCAGCAGCTGTTCAACATGATACAGTATCACACAGTGGCCTCGGTCTTGAAAGGAAAGCAGCAGTCTGTATGTGAATGAAACGGAGCAGTAGGTCAGTGGAAAATAATTGCCTAGTTGGGAGGGGGCCAGGACACCGGGTTAACATCCTGACGCTTGTAAAAGGGGCCATGGGGTCAACAATTTAAGACCCGGAGTTTAACTCTCGTTCATTTTTCCAGAGGCAGATCATCCCTCTTAGAGGTGGAGGGCACAGGAGACCAACCTCTGACTCTCAGCCATTTACTGAAGCACAGAGCAGGTAAGGGGCCAGCTGGATGTGCAGCCCCAGGACAAGGCTGTTGCTCAGGTGAGGACTGAAAGATCTGGCTGCCAGCCAGAGAACAGAGACTGGCTGGCACAGCAGTGACTGGAGGAGGGACCACTTCTCTCTCTCTCTCTCTCACACACACACACACACTTTAGTTAGTGGCTAATGAAAAATGCGGCTGTTTGAACAGAGCTGTTGAGGTCGGCCTGTGACCCAGACAGGGCAGATGGCAGGCGCTCTCTGCTGAAGACTGACACATCGCTGTGGCATGCAGAGCGATCAGGTGTGCAGGTCCAGGGAGATCAGAGGACAGAGGTGTAAAGCCAGAGTCCCTTTCCAACAGCTTGGACAAGAACGAACAAAGGTCAGGCGGCACCCAGGGCTGCCATCCAAAAATAACTTAGCGGGATGGGGAGACCAGTCCCTGAATAGCACCCAGCAATTGGCTGCTCCAATCCCATTACTGCTTTTGGCAGCCAATGAGAATCCCCAGCGCAAAGGAGGTTGGGCTGGTTGTGGGAGGAGCTGCTGTCCCTTGGCCCTGCCTCAGGAACGCTTGGCACAAGCTGGAGTTTCCCAAAAAAGTTGCAGGCAGTTAGAAAAGGAAGCATGACATTCTGACTTGCTGCCCTTGGTGGGAGCAGCGAGCCCACGGAGCCGGGACACTCCTGCAGAGCACTCGCACCAGATCCCCAACAGGTCTCTGGAGGGGGTTTGACACTCCAAGGGCGAGGAGAGGCCAGGGGATGGGAGGGCAAGTTACTGACAAATGCATAAGACAGTGGAAGTTAGACTCAGACCCCATCAGTGGACCAGTCGCAGCCTACCTGAAACAGCTTCCTGACAGAAAGCGACCCAGCGGCTGCAGGATAAGAGCCTGGAGCAGCAGGGTCCAGTGGGTAGGGCACTACACGGGGAATCAGGAGACCTCAGCTCTATTCCCAGCCCAGCCGCTGATCTGCTGGGGGACCCTGGGCAAGTCAACGTAACTCTGCCTCAGTTTCCTCATCTATAAAATGGGCTAATGGCCCTGGCTGTCCTTTGTGAAGGGCTTTGAGGTCTACGCACGAAGCACGCTGGGTAACAGCTAAGTATCATTACTTCCTTTCTTACTTTCCTTCTGGTTTATGAATAGTTTTTTGTAATGGCTTCTCTACAGCGCTCAATAGAGTATCTGGGGAGTTAGCCAGCACTCTACGACAGAGAGGTGGTATCCCTGTGTTACAGATGGGGAAACCGAGGCACAGAGTGGGAAAGTGACTCAACCAAGGTTGCACGGGGTCTACAGCAGAGCCAGGAATTGAACCCACATCTCCTAAGTCCCAGCCCAGCACCTCGTCCATGTGATCATCAATCAGAACAGACCTGCAAGCCCCACAGCTTTCAGCAGTCACCGCAGCTCAGTGGCATGCTTCTTGTTTTGGCTGTTTAATGAACTCACTGATTCCGAGAACCAGCATAAAACGGGAGGCTGTCCAAATTAAAAAAAAAAACAAAAAAAACCGCCTAAGGGGGGTGCCTTAAATCGACATCTTGGGGGGAAAAGAACTGGCCAAGGAAGGTGCAGTTGTGGGAAGGTGACGCGGAGGAGTCCAACACCACGCTGCCTTCCCAGGCCTCAGGAGTGGGTGATTCCACGACTCAGTGAAGCTTATGGACCCTGGTGCAGAGGGAACACTTTCCCCATCGCTGGAAGACAGCTTCCTCTGGGCTGGAGCGCAGCAGTCACCCTGTTCCAGCAATGCTGCAGCACCAGTGCATGACGGGAAGTGGGGAATAACACTGATTGAGTACAGGGGACCAGCCATGGTATCCGGGCTAAATACTTTATGTGGCAGCACCCCGCTTCCTTGCGCCCTGCCAATGGCTTCTGCCCTGTTCAAGGGTGTATTTCGCTCCTAGAGTGGTGACAGCTGACTGGGCTTGGCCTCCAGGCAGCCATCTAGAGGTGAGCGAAAGCCTCCAGGCTCCGTTTGTTTAAAACGAACAAAAAGAGGTATTTCTTCACCCAACGCACAGTCAACCTGTAGAACTCCTTGCCAGAGGATGTTGTGAAGGCCAGTATACCAGGGTTAAAAAAAGATAAGTTCATGGAGAATAGGTCCATCAATGGCTATTAGCAAAACTATACTCTGAAGCGTCCCTAGCCTCTGTTTGCCAGAAGCTGGGAATGGGCGAGCGGGGATGGATCACTTGAGGATTCCCTGTTCTGTTCATTCCCTCTGAAGCGCCTGGCATGAGCCACTGTCGGTAGACAGGATACTGGGCTGGATGGACAATTGGTCTGACCCAGTCTGGCTGTTCTTATGTTCCCTGGCTGACTAGCCTCCCACCCCAAGCAGCAGGGGACCCTCACTTACCGGTCCGTTTGCTGCAGAGCCGATCCTTGACGTTGACGGTCTCATGGGAGAAGAATTCAATGAGCTCATCTTCATACTCCTCGGCGATGCTCTCGCACTGCAACAGGGTCCGGAGAGGGTCAGAAAACCTGCATCCTGCCTCCCCTAGCACTGAGCGGGTCACACGGGGTAGCCACGGCAACAGTGACAGAGAGGAGACACCAACGGCTGGGCCCTGCTCGACACAGCCCCAGCCACAGAAACAGCAGCCCCACCAGTCCATGGCCTGCTCTGCGGTGGCAAAGCACAGTGGTCAGGCTGCAGGGGGGATGTCAGCGCTCTGCAGTCCAGGAAGAGGGGTCAGGGTTAAGCACTAGGGTGTGGCTAGTGAGAGCAGCCTGGTGTCTCCCACCCAGCACCAGCACGGCGGGGGCTACTGCAGCTGAGAGTCAAAAGTCATCAAGGTCCCCCCTTCAACTGGCAGCTGAGCTCCGTCAGGGGAGCCCCACGTACGCCCAGTGCCTCTGCACTCACCGCAAACTTCAGGCGGGACGTCACGTCCCCGTCCATTTTGGTCTCAGAAAGGTCCATCTTGGTCCCGTCATGGGAGATCACGCGGACGTAGCTTTTCCGGTGGGTGGAGGGATCCACCTTCTCCCCATACTCTTTCATCTTCTCACAGACCCGCTCCAGCAGCTCCGTCAGGTGAGCTTCGGATCTGGCGTAGGGCACCTGGGCAGAACCACAGTGATCTGACAGGCTGCGCCAAGTGCATTCACCGTGCCACTCACCCACGAGATAGCCACAGCACCTGAGCCCCAACACGGTCATAACCGTGCTTTGCAAGCGTTGGCCGAGCCGCCCTGGGAGCGGCGACGGTGCCATCCGCTCTCTACACAGAGGCAAAACGACTCGGCCGAGGTCACGCAGCGAGCCAGGGGGGCAGCTCTGCACAGAACCCAGGAGTCCCCACTCCCAGTCCCACCCCCTGCCCACAAATTCTCCAGAGAACAGAAAAGCCCAGGGGTCCTGGGTGCCAGCCCCCTGCTACATCAGCCAACGCTGCTTCCCTAGGGCAAGAGCCGCTACTACAGAGAAGCCATTCTCAGCCCTCACAAACTGGCTTCACATTCCAGTGCCGCCAATCAGAAGAGGAACCCCCCTTCCGCGGTTAACAGCACCCAGTGGGCGCTCAGCCCCCCTTGGAGTCTTTCTGGGGGAGGAAAATTAATGAAATGGGATCTTCAGGACCCACTCCCTTCTCCATCCCTCTCCCCACAACACGTGGCTGCTACTTCCAGCAGGGCTTTATTGTCAATTTACCATCCATCCTTCCCCTCTCTTAAACCTGATCTTTCAGAGACTCCTACTGCCCCAGGGCTGGAGAGAGGTACCCAGCTGGGTAAGTGCAAGACACCCTACCTCCACAACCGACTGGCTGCCGTCTGGGTTGATACGGAACGACCCCATCTGGATGGTTTTCTTGGGATCCACCTGGGAGATCTCCCACTCCAGCTCGTCCACCAGGGCCCGACAAGCTAGAGAGGAGAGAGAGAAATCAGTTGCATTAGTCAACATGGTGAATCAGATGGAGAGAAGCAAATGGCTGTTACCCAGCCTGCCCTCTGCAGCCCTGGGCAGGTCAGAAACAACAGTTCAACAGTGCACCGTCCGTCTGGGAGCAGCAACTAACCCTGATACAGTCACTAACAAGATGGTTTCCTTCTCAGGGTCTGCACTGTGCCTAGCCCAATGGGAGTCAGAGCCTGAGAGAGGATCTGCTCCTCTAACAATAATCTGCACTTACTTAGCGTTAACTAACCCGATCCCCATTTGGCTGATAGGGAAACTGAGGCATGGGGCGTGATTGTCACACAGCAACCGAGCTGGAAATGCTCCCTTTACCTCCACAATGGAGATCCTGACTACTCCAAGCAAGGACACTGTTCAACAGAGACACCAGGATGACGGACAGGCAGAGCGTATGAGAAACCCAGCCATTCATCTTCCCCGCAGGCTGGCACAGTGACCTGCAGAGAGGCCAAAAGGATTCAGTGCTTCCAGATCACAGCTCCTCCTTTCAGCCACGAGGGGTCCAGCAGGCGCTCTGTGGAAACCCAAAGCAAACTCTGCTTCTGCTACAGCGAATCCCTCCCGGTTCCAACAGCAGCTCCTTTAGGGGCTTGTCTACCCGGGAGCCATGTCGAACACTGGTCTGATTTTACTGGTATACCATTATAACCTCCATGCTTACGCCAGCCTGAGAATGGCTCTCTTTGATTTAGCTTAAACCAGAAAGGACCCTGCTACAGCAGAGTAACAGAGATATAACTACAGCATTTAAAATTCCCACCCTATCAGATCCTGTTTAACCCCCCCCCCCCCCGGTAGATTTGCCCTAGGAATTGCTCTTTCCTGCCCCAACAGCTCAACCCATCATGCCGGGCCAGCATTTACAGTGCCAAGGGCTCCATGGCACAATCGTTCCCTGTTTCAAAGCGGTCCTCCAAGGAGCAGCTGTTTGTCTGCTGGGCTCAGGTTGTGAGCACAAAACAGGGACTGTGCGGCGGGCCGGAGGCCACAGGGTTTGGCAGTTTGTAGCTGCTCGTTGCTGGTTACTGGGATCGGTCAGTGGCCCTTCCCCGGGCCATTCCTACAGAACCTAGCGAGATGGAGAAAGTGCCCACAGGTCCCCTCCACCAGCCCTGGGGCTGATGGGCACCGGGGAGTCACAGCATCCCCCAGGACAGAAGGGAACAGCAGCCCATCATGGAGCCTTGGGGGGCCAGCTGACACTCTCTTTCCATGGTTCTGTAACCTACTCCCCAGTGTGCCCCACTTCCTGCCAGCGCCCCCCACACTCTGCCCCCTCAGTATCCCCCAGAGGTCCCCAAAGAGACCTCTCTAGCTCCCTGTTATGTCCCTAGATACCCACTACGCCCAGGACCCCCATACACCCTACAGAGATCCCTATAGGGACTCCCCAACCCAGATGCCCCTATACACCCTATAGAACCCTGTATAAAGACCCGCGCTCCCCTCTAGAGCCCCCCCTCACACACTCCCTTAGAGCACCCTAGACTCAGGTCCTCCCATACACCCTACAGGGCCCCCTCTCCCCTCTAGAGCCCCCCATACACCTACAGGGCCCCTCCCCCACACCCTATAGGGACCCCTCTCCCCTATAGAGCCCCCCCACCCAGGGCCCCCCATACACCCTATAGGGACCCCTCTCCCCTCTAAAGCCCCCCATACACCCTACAGGGCCCCCCCACACACCCTATAGGGACCCCTCTCCCCTATAGGGCCCCCCCACACCCTATAGGGACCCCTCTCCCCTATGGCCCCCCCACACCCTATAGGGACCCCTCTCCCCTATAGAGCCCCCCCACACCCTATAGGGACCCCTCTCCCCTATAGAGCCCCCCACACCCTATAGGGACCCCTCTCCCCTCTAGAGCCCCCCACCCAGGGCCCCCCATACACCCTATAGGGCTCCCCATACACCCTACAGGGACCCCTCTCCCCTCTAGAGCCCCCATACATCCTACAGGGCCCCCCCCACACCCTATAGGGACCCCTCTCCCCTATAGAGCCCCCCCACCCAGGGCCCCCCATACACCCTACAGGGCCCCCTCTCCCCTATAGAGCCCCCCACCCCGCTACAGGGACCCCTCTCCCCGAAAGGGCCCCCCCCACCCTACAGGGACCCCTTAGAGCCCCGCACCTGAGACCTGTCCCGGCCCCGCCGCTCCCCCGGCGGGCGCTGAGTCCGCCCGCTCCCGAGCCCCGCCCCCCGGGGCTGCCCCGCCGCCCGCCTGACCCGCCGCGCTCCCGCCGCTGCCGCCGCCGCCGCCACCCCAGTCCGGGGATCCGGTGAGGGGCGGGGCCGGGCCGGCTCCGGCTCCTGCTCCAGCAGCGGCTGCCAGGGCCCCTCCGGCGGGGCGGCCGGGCACGGGCACAGGCACCGCTAAGGGCAGCTAAGGCGGCGGCAGGACCCCGGGCGCACAGCGAGGCCCCAGCTCGCGTGGCGTTGGGTTCCACGCGAGCAGCAGCCCGGCAAGGGGCGGGGCCTGCGCGGATGGGCGGGGCAGGGAAGTTACACAGCTGGGCGGAGGGACCGACCCCTGGGGCTAGGGAGGGGGCGTGGGGGTTGCAGCTGGGGGAAGGGTATAGGGGGGCGGGGGGCGTGCAGGTTGCAGCTGGGGGGAGGGTATAGGGGGTGTGGGGGCTAGGGAAGGGGCGTGGGGGTTGCAATTGAGGGGAGGCTATAGGGGGTGTAGGGCTAGGGAGGGGGCGTGGGGGTTGCAGCTGGGGGAAGGGTATAGAGGCCGTGGGGGTTGCGGCTGAGGGGAGGGCATAGGGGGGTGTAGGGCTAGGGAGGGGGCGTGGGGGTTGCAGCTGGGGGAAGGGTATAGGGGGTGTGGGGCTGGGGGGGCATGGGGGTTGCAGCTGGGGGGGACATGGGGGCACAGCCCTGCTCTGAGGTCATGGGGAAGGAAGTGGGCACCTCCTGGCAGCAGATCAAGCCGGGTCGCTGAACTCTGGCTCCCAGCCCCTCTGCTCTAACCACTAGACCCCACTCCCCGCCCTGAGCCACCACCAAAACCCAGAAGTCCTGGCTCCCAGCCAGTCTGCGCCAATGACTAGACTTCCTCCTTTTCCTTGGTCCCTGTTGTCTGTGCCCACTCCAGTCTCCAGGATGCTCCATGGCTAGCGAGTGCCAATGCAGCAGGAGAGGGGACTAGGGAGCCCTGGCAATGACTCTGCCCTGGCTGTGCTGGAGTCGATCATCCCCACAGGCACTTTGCCTCCTCTGCATTGAGAGCAGCCAGTTTTCGGGGGGACATGCTCCCCCCTGGGAGCCCTGGGCTATAGCCGCTCCTGAATCTCCGGGCAGGGCAGCCAGGTGCTGTTGCTCGCCGGCTAATACACCAACCCTATGCAGGGTTAGATCACGCAGCCCCAATGCACTGGAGACAGGGGCCCCCCCCAGGAACTAAAACTGGAGGGGTTCTTGAGTCCCCATTTTTAAGGGGCTTCTAATTCAGGAGACAGGCCAGAGGCTCACCTGGCTGGCTGCCATGTTCTGATGCAGCGATCCGGGATGCTCGAGGCAGGTTGACGCTCCTGCTGTGTTAGCCGACGGCCAAGGATGTTTGGTGAGGTGCCAGCTATGCCCGTTTATACCATCCGTGACTTTAACCGCTAGGACGCACTGTCCCTTCGCGGCGGGCAGCCCGGGCTAGGCTGACGGATGCCCCAAGGTCCTAACCACCCGTGACTTTAACTGCTAGAGCTCAGAGCTCCTTCGCAGCGGGCAGCCAGGATTGACTGACAGGTGCCCCAAGAGTTTGCCCCGTGGAGGCGGCACAACTCAACGCTAGGCTCTTAGTACTCTCACCTAATGGCCAGGCTTTAGAGCCAAAACGGCTGAGATTCTTTAATTGTGATGGCTGCTTTACAGTAAACCAGAGAAAACAAGTCAGGCTTATGCATAAATGGTTACCAAATTTATTAAGCTAGATTCTAATCATGTGGTTACAAAATTGCTAGTGCCTACTTATTTAAATGTAGAGATGTTACACACACAAACAAGTTACAAAACTGAAGCCACAATCCCAAAGAAAGAAAACAAAGTACAGAGCTCTATTTCAAAATATGTGTACACTAAAGATAGGAGATCAGGTGTGGGTGCTTCTTACCCTCCTTGCATCTCTCGATTCCAGCGGTGCCAAGCCAGGATCGGTCACTCAATTCCGCGGAAAGACAAATAAGGGACAAGGCGTAGGGACCCTCTTAGCTGCAGAAGCCTTGGGAGGCTGTCACTTATCTGACCAGCAGATAGATAGTGAAAAGCACTCAAAAATCATGGTGCTGTAGGTCCCCTACTTATACCTCTGTACTCCTTTATTCTCTTTCTCCTTTCTTATGCCAAATTGAGGCTGGTCTGTCGTGACGCCAGCTTTTGCAAGAGTAGTTTACACTTGCAAGGGAGAGAAACAATAAGTTTCGACTACTGGACATTTCTTTTATTAGGGTAAATATTTTCCCACCTAGGATGTTGGTGTGTGTGCATCACGCTACTTAGTAGGGGCTAAGAGCCATGTCTGTCACAGGGCCTCTGCCTGCTGTGAGCTTAATCGTCGTATCTGTTCCCAGAGGCACATTGTAGCAGCACACCTGTGCTTCAAAGGCTGTGCTGGAATATATGTTAAGTGCCCTGTTCCTGCTTCCTCCTGTGTTTCCAGCAATGCTGGTCTGAGGGGGGGGGGGCTGGCTGTCTGGCTACATTCCACCCCCTGATGCACCACACTACATCCCAGATTGCAAGGTGGCGGTGATGCCAGCACCTCTTGCCCTCCTTGGGGAAATCTAGCAATACCCAACAACCAAATTAGAGGATGAGGGTTCGCGGAATTGGTTAGGATCCCTTTTTAGCTCTAGGTATTTGATTTGCGTGGAGGAAAGAGCAGTTTGAATCAAACGCTTCATAATACATAAAGTGACACAAAAAACAATTACAATAATTAAAATGGTTAAAACAGTATTTACAACCGAATGTAAAAACGGGGAGAGGGAAAATCCCAAGTGTTGAGCTAACCATTGCATCCATGAGGTTTGTCCATTCTCAGCCACTGCATGTAAAATTTTAACTGCACCTTTAATAGCAACCACATCTTGCTCTATTTGCCCTGAATGATTTACATAAAAACAACAAGATTGGTTGATGACAGCACACACTCCTCCTTGCTGGGCTAGGGTAGCGTCCAGTGCTATTCTGTTCTGCAGAGCATATCGGGCCACAGACTGAAGTTGTTCATTTAAAAGCCCTAATGCATCAGCAGTATGATTCAGAGCAATTTCCAATTGTCCAGAAACGTTTGCTATTGCCATCTCGAGCTCAGTTATACCTAACCAAGGTATAAGTGCACGTGTAAATCGGTGAAAACCAGAGGGCCGTTCAATCAGGGGGTTATAGGTGAACTTTCGTTTGGACCGATGTATAAAACTTCCCAGATTTGTTATTCTGGGGGCATTAACATGAGGGTGTACTGTTAGTCCCTCGGGTACTGCATGTCCCAGTGAACACCTTCCAGTCCAACCTACAGGTAGATATTTATATGCCTTGTCCCCACAAATAAAGAACAAGCCAGGTTCTTTACTAAGAATAGGTGAATAAGGTCCTCTGTGCCACCTGCCCCCCTCAGGTTTAGGTATGGGTTGGTGATATGGAACACAATATCCCATCTTAATGTTAGTACAGAGCAAAACTATTAACAAATCTTCTAAAATTTGATCTGAGCGAAAAAGTCCATTTTCATTACACTGATCTAATAAGGAGTTAATAGATTTGATTAGCAATGGGTTATAAATGTGTCCGGAACTGGGAATAAAGAACAGTGATTGGTCATACCAATCTCTGCTTTCAGGGTATCTACTCATATTCAGGGGAACAATTGTGGCATTATGTATGCTAAAAAGGGGTCTATGTTCAAGTGTGCCATTGATGGGACCTTTCCAACATTTTAAAGTCCTTTTGTCGCTCATGGGTGGGTAGGTAGTCCAACCCCCACTTTTCTGATCAAATACAATTGTATGGGCACATTGCTGCTTATCTAGACTACCCATTTGTATGTCACCCTGAGTTTCAAAACAAATAGGGTATACTTCTTTAGATGATCCCGTTACATATTCCACAGGCTGTCCCCAAACAGTGCGATGCCATTGTCCCACCTCCCCCGAGTCATTGTGAGGGTTGTTGGTGTACCATGCTGGTCCCCACTGAACGATGTCGCTTTTGTTCCACCAATCATTTAGGCTGAGTGGTACAAATTCAAGTCCCAGTCCATTGGTTGAATCTAGCAAGGTGCACATCCAGCAATTTGTAGCACCAGCAGCTGAGGCGATGGTTTGGATTGCTCCCCGAAGAGGATGTTCTGGTATTGCCAAGGTGACTGGAGCCAACAGAAGGATCATGAGGGCTTGCAGGAACATATCTCTGGTGGGTCGTGTTCTAGCTAAAAAACTTATTTTAAAACCAAAAGCAAAAATTACACCTGCTATTATAAGTAATGGCAAATATATCAACAGTCCATAGTAGTCTCTAGTGATCAAACAGGTCTGCTGCATGGTCCATTTTGCTGACAGGTTAGCTGGCAGGTTGCTCGGAACCATGGGACCATTCCTGCAATAAATCACATGGTCAGCCGGTCTTGGATGCGATCCAAGCCTCTGTAATGGTTATTAGCCTTTTATCAGCATTTAAGGCACTCCATACACCTTTCTCTTTATAGGCGTGCAAAACGCAGGTAAAGGTACCCAGGGCTGGGTGTTTAATCACAATAGTGTCTCCGGGAGCATACTTGGAACTGTGCAGTGGTGTTCTGGCAGGGGAGATAGCTTTCCCTGTAGGGAAGAATCCCCTGCTGATTGGACTTCCTGTAGGAGTCTGTCTGTTGTTTAATCTCTGCACCACTTCGTCCAGTCTGTCTCCCCATGTGCCATCAGTAGGCTTCAAGTGATTCTTTAGCAACCCATTCCAGCGCTCGACCATGCCATTAGATTGAGGTCGATATGGAAGGTGGAAGGTCCATTGGACTCCATGGTTAAGGGTCCATTCCCTTACAAGTTTATTCTTAAAATACGAACCATTATCTGATTGGATTTCTTGAGGCATTGGGACAATTGCTGTTAAGCGGTTTAGTCCCATAACTGTGGACAACCCTGTTGCCAGTCGGGTTGGATATGCAAAACCAATCCCTGAAACAATTTCTACCCCAGTCAAGATGTATTTCCACGTCTGCCTTGTAGTGGGCAGTGGTCCGACATAGTCGACCTGCCAGGTTGCCCATAGTGTTTTTCCATCTCTTAGCCTGGCAAACCTTTGTCCTTCTGCTATATGTTTTCTAGTCTCAGCACAAATAGTGCAGGCTTGCACCAGGTCTCTAGCCTGTCTGTGGGTGATAGGCCACCCCCTGATATGTGCTTGCCGCACTAACTCATCACTTCCTGTGTGTCCTAAATTATCATGTAACCATGAATATAAGCGTTCCCATTCTACTTGTGTGGTAAAGAGCTGGGCAGCTGCATCGGCTAAATTGTTTAACTGTGCAGCTGGGGTATTATTCCTCTGATGAGCTGAGACATGTCCTATAGACAGGGGTTGTTGCAGGGCATGCTGATATAACCACTTCCAGTATTCCAGTCCCCATACTGGTTTACCTCCTATTTCCCAGTGGTTATTTTTCCAGTTAGTGATCCACTGAGTGGCACCTGCCCACACCGCATAGGAGTCCGTATATACTGCGGTGGCTCCTGCTTCACAGGCCAGTTTAATTGCAGCTAATTCTGCAAGTTGTGCTGACCCATCAATTTCAGCAGTTAGGGGTGCTGCAGAGGGGTCTGCAGGCACTGCTGCAGCTTTTCCCTTCCATTTTCCTTTAACCAGCCTGGCACTGCCATCAGTGAACCATACTCCCTCAGGCTTAGAAGGATCAAATGGGGCAGCATCCTTAATGGGAGACTGCTGTGGAGGTAGGCGGTATTCATCAGGCATTCCTACTTTCCATAGGGATTCCTGAATCATAGTGGGGTTTTGTGCAGTGTCTGCACTACCTACCCTGTGGTGTATGTAAAGTGCCCATCTTTGGATAGTCATCTTTTGTGCTACACCAGGTGGTAACTCTTTCCCTTCCAATATAGGTTTAATGATTGGAAGAGGAGTGTGAATTGTGATGTCCTTATCCTGAGTTAATTCCTCAGTTTCTCTCAAGGCTGTGTAAGCTGCCAGAAGCACGTTCTTATAAGGCGTGTAGTTAGCCTGTGACCCTTGCCATGACTTGGAACCAAACTCAATTGGTCGTCTGGGAGCAGTGTCACTTTCTTGCCAGAGAGCATAAGACATTCCAGTGGCTCCCACAGTTAGGTACAAATGGAATGGGGCTTCAGGATGTATGGGACCCAGAGCCTGATAGGTGTGTATCTCCCCTATCAGTTGCCTGAGGGCTTCCTCATGGGCAGGAGCCCATTCCCAGGCAGCACTTTTCTTTAACAAATTGTACAATGGTCTGGCTATAATGGCAAAGCCAGGTACATGTTTTCTCCAAAACCCCAGGGTTCCCAAAATCTGTCTCAATTGATCTTTACTTTCAGGGGAGGGTGCCTGATTTAGCTCTTGCACAGTGTCATTAGGCACAGACCTCCTACCTCCCATCCATACAGTACCTAAGAATTTTATCTCTTGGGAGGGACCTTGGCATTTCTCAGCTGGTAACTCTAAATTAAGGGCTTCTAGTGCTCCTTTGATTTGATTCATAGCCTCCTGTACCTCTTCTGGGGTTTTCCCACCTATTAAGATGTCATCAATGTATTGCACAGTTTGTACATTGGGTGGCAGGATAAGGTCATCTAGGACCTTTGCCAGTGCCCCATGGCAAATAGTGGGTGAGTGTTTAAACCCTTGTGGCATTCGGGTAAAAGTGTATTGTACACCTTTCCAAGTAAAAGCAAATCTTTCCTGGTCAGCTGGTTGCAAAGGGACCATGAAGAACATGTCCTTTACATCTAATACTGCTAGCCAGGGTTTATCCCAGGTTTGTATGGTGTTTACAATATCTGTTATGCTAGGGACTGCTGCAGTTAATGGTCCAGTGTTACTGTTTAGCTTCCTATAGTCTATAGTGAGTCTCCATTTGCCATTTGGTTTCTTGATGGGCCACACAGGAGAATTAAAGCGAGAGTGGGTACGAATTAAAATTCCTCGCTGTTCCAAATCTTTGATCAGGTCAGTAACAGGGCTTATGGCCTCAGCTGGGACATTATACTGCTTTATGTTTGTTACTGTTGAGAGCGGGAGAGCAGGCGCGCTGCTAAGTAAGTTTACAGAATAGTGGGGAGGGCTTTCCTCTTCCAGGTGGGTGGCATGAGGAACAGAACTGACTCCAAAAGCCCATCTTTCCCCATTAATCCTTCCCTTCTTTCCTCTTAAAACATCCATGCCCAGTATGTTGGCATTGCCCAAAATCACCTCATATTTTCGGGGCTGATGGTGGGGTTGCAATGGGATATCCAGTTTTATCTTAACTAATGGGTAAGTTATGGGACTGCCATTTACTCCTGTAACAAGTGTCTGCTTTCCGCCAGTAGGTGGCGAGCCCTGAAAACTTTCTCGCTTAATCATGGACCTTTGAGCCCCTGTGTCCATTAAGAAAGGAATAATGTGTTTGTCATTTACAGTTACATGTATCCGGGGGTCTTTTGCTGTTGTTTTCTCCTCTTTGGATTTAAGCTGGTTTATTAGGAGAGGAGATTGACCCCCGCAAGCTAGTTTCCCTGCTCTGGTAACTCTTGCAGTTGCTGCAGCAATGGAGTATACTGGGTGTCTGCAGGTGGGGAAAGAGGAGAGAGCTGCAGAGGTGCACTGGGAGTAGCATTAGTTGTCTCCCAGTCAGCTCTTTTAAAGGTGGTGAATAATTTTAGCCGCTCTGTGGGCAGTCCATTTATCACATCTCTGGGATAACCTAAAGCCAGACATTGTCTCCACAACTTGGCTCTAAGCTCCTTTTCCTCCTGGGTTGGCTCTCGCTTGTTTTTATGTCCTTTAGATGGTGCCCCCTTGTTTCCCTGAAGGGAACGCATCTTAGCTTTGCCTGTCAGTGCTCTGATGTCTCCGAATTCTCTAAAGCATGACACCAGAAGGTTTAGCAGTGCCCGAAAGGTACTGTTATGTGCTGCAGCTTCTGATCTAAGGGACAGTGCCATAGCCCTGTGGTTACTCGGAACTCCCTTAAGCAGGGGTCTGAGATCATCTACATCTACCTGACCCTCCCATGGGCTTTCATAGGCTAACCCTTGAGGGTTTTGGCCAAGCATGCTAATGACAGCCACAGTTAATAGAGCTGTTTTTACCTCATCTATGTTGGTCCAGTGCATTACTGTGGGTTCATCTCGGTCTGCTGGGTAAATTCCTCTTGCCCATTGACAAGCCAGAGACCAAAGTGTTTTAGGGGTGTTCCCCTCTGAGTGTTCCAGGAATATTCCTGCACCTAAGTTAAGGCGCTCAGTTTCTTGGGCTGTCAGGCGTATATATCCACCCCCAGTGTCCCAGAGGCGGACCAGCCACTCTATTATACCTTCCTCAGGCTTTTTAGCAAAATCTCCCTGGATTGTTTTTAACTCCATGGGAGTATATTGGCGGGTGGTAATTTTGGTAAAGTGTGTTGGAGCTTTACTCCCTTTTCCCCTCCCTTTGTTTTTGAAGAGGTGGATGGATAATTGTCATCCCCTTCTTCATCCAGCTCTGCCCCACTCAAATTTTCCTCATGTTCTTCTGATTTGTGATGTGTGATAGCTGGTCTTAATTTTACAGAGGGACCTTCCTCCTCAGAGGAGGGGGACTCATCTGCTGAATCCCAAATGTCTCCATCCCATTCCTCAGGGTCTAGCCAGAGAGCAGTCTCAACTTTAGCCCGGTTGATACTGCGTGTTTTAGTCTCCAGCTTTTCCCTTCGTTCTATCCCTTCTTTCTCAATTAAGGGAAGTAATCTTTTCTGAAGATGTTCCATATCCCTATTCAGTGTTCTTACTCTGGTATCTAAATTCTGGCATTCCTTGCGCAGTGTGTCCCTTTCCTGTTGTAGCCTATTAAATTCTATTGCCAGACTATGATAATCCTTACAGGCAGCTTGCCAAATGTTAGTAAGCAGCCATATACAAGCACCTTTTCCTTTCCCTTTCTTCATCTTGCAGGCAGTTCTCCAGTTACAGAAATGCTGCCAGATCTCTGCTGGTTTTCCCCAATATTTCTCCAGCAGTTCTTTGCTCCACAGAGGATTTCCCCATCCCTCTTGGGTCAAACTTTTCTCTAGCTCAGGGAATTCTGTGGTGTTTATCACGACTGGTTTCATTGTGTTACTGTACTGCAGCCTATATCACAATCCTGTTCGTGACGCCAATTTCTGTTAGCCGACGGCCAAGGATGTTTGGTGAGGTGCCAGCTATGCCCGTTTATACCATCCGTGACTTTAACCGCTAGGACGCACTGTCCCTTCGCGGCGGGCAGCCTGGGCTAGGCTGACGGATGCCCCAAGGTCCTAACCACCCGTGACTTTAACTGCTAGAGCTCAGAGCTCCTTCGCAGCGGGCAGTCAATACTGACTGACAGGTGCCCCAATGGCAGCACTAAGAGCCTCTCCACACCCGTGACTTTAATGCTAGAGCTCAGAGCTCCTTCGCAGCGGGCAGCCAGGATTGACTGACAGGTGCCCCAAGAGTTTGCCCCGTGGAGGCGGCACAACTCAACGCTAGGCTCTTAGTACTCTCACCTAATGGCCAGGCTTTAGAGCCAAAACGGCTGAGGTTCTTTAATTGTGATGGCTGCTTTACAGTAAACCAGAGAAAACAAGTCAGGCTTATGCATAAATGGTTACCAAATTTATTAAGCTAGATTCTAATCATGTGGTTACAAAATTGCTAGTGCCTACTTATTTAAATGTAGAGATGTTACACACACAAACAAGTTACAAAACTGAAGCCACAATCCCAAAGAAAGAAAACAAAGTACAGAGCTCTATTTCAAAATATGTGTACACTAAAGATAGGAGATCAGGTGTGGGTGCTTCTTACCCTCCTTGCATCTCTCGATTCCAGCGGTGCCAAGCCAGGATCGGTCACTCAATTCCGCGGAAAGACAAATAAGGGACAAGGCGTAGGGACCCTCTTAGCTGCAGAAGCCTTGGGAGGCTGTCACTTATCTGACCAGCAGATAGATAGTGAAAAGCACTCAAAAATCATGGTGCTGTAGGTCCCCTACTTATACCTCTGTACTCCTTTATTCTCTTTCTCCTTTCTTATGCCAAATTGAGGCTGGTCTGTCGTGACGCCAGCTTTTGCAAGAGTAGTTTACACTTGCAAGGGAGAGAAACAATAAGTTTCGACTACTGGACATTTCTTTTATCAGGGTAAATATTTTCCCACCTAGGATGTTGGTGTGTGTGTATCACGCTACTTAGTAGGGGCTAAGAGCCATGTCTGTCACAGGGCCTCTGCCTGCTGTGAGCTTAATCGTCGTATCTGTTCCCAGAGGCACATTGTAGCAGCACACCTGTGCTTCAAAGGCTGTGCTGGAATATATGTTAAGTGCCCTGTTCCTGCTTCCTCCTGTGTTTCCAGCAATGCTGGTCTGAGGGGGGGGGGGCTGGCTGTCTGGCTACATGCTGTCAGGTGGATCTGCAGCGTCTCTGTCCTGGGAGAGACACAGAGCGTTCCGCCGCGCTCGGCTGCCCCCTGCCTATGTCAGTGACTGCATTAACCAAGGTGACAGGCACAAAACCTCGCTGTCTCAGCAAAAAACTTCCTGCCAACAGTCCCCAGCCATGTGCCCAGAGCCACCTTAATTCATTAGGGACCGTAGCAGCTCCAGCTGGGGCAGGGGGGCTGGAGCCATCCACGCCCCCAGCCCCCCCAACAGAGCTGGTGGCTGTCCCAGCTCGGGAGCTAACCGGGGAGGGGAGACCAGTGGGGAAAACCCAGGGATGGTGGGAAGCTGCTGAGTCAGTAGGTGATTCCTTGCCTCCCTTTGAGTCATGCCCCAGGATGCTGTGAGGTGGCGTGTTTCCAGGGAAATGCAAAAACCCAACTGGGCTGCTGGGCTTTCCACAGGTGCTAACCCCGCTGGCCTGGCCAAAGTCCAGCACTGGTGACAACATTCTGAACTCGTTGCCCCCCCTCCAATTTTAATTGCATGCAGGAGTCTTGTTCTCCTTGCTTCTGCGCTGGACACTGTTCAAGATCTGTCCCCCCCGAGGTGGCTGCATCACCTCCCAGCCAGCTCATCCCTGCTTCCTGGTTCTTAAACTCTGGGAGATTTGCACCAGCTCCCTCTCCTTGCCCCCCCCGCGCCTATGAGGGGGGGCCTCCTGCTCTGCAGACCGTGAGGTCTGGAAGAGCCTCCCCTAACCTCAGACTCGCTGGCTCACCTGTAAACGCCTCCCCACTCCTTCCTCTGCGCTTCAGTTCCCCCCCACCCCAAGGGGGGCTTCACTCCTCGCGCTGGGGAGCATCTCGTCCCTTTGACCTTAAAGGCACCGGTTGCCTAGTTGGGGGTGGTGGGGACAGGGATTGTCACCTCGGGGAAGCACTGTGGGCTGTTTGTGGGGATGGATCCTTTCTCAGCTGGGAGCTGGCAGGCTGGCTCCCTGTGTGCTGCTCTGAATGTCCGCGGAGACGGGGGCTGTTTTGAGCAGGAATTCCCATCCCCTTGTTCGCTCTGCAGAACCTGGGTTTGCAGCGCGAGCCACGGAGGGTCCCAGACCCAAGCCGTTACTCTCCCGGCCATGGCAGGAGCAGGACTCGCCCGACCGGGATGTCTTCAAAGCAGGAATGCCAGGGCTCCTCCACACAGGGGTCACTGGAACCAATGCAGCCACGTGGAGCACAGAGCCAGGCATTCTTCACACCCGTGCACGTTCTCCACATGAGGGGTCTGCACAACCCCCCAGTGCAGACAAACACAGAGGCATGGGGGTGAACACAGCTGTAGCCACTCATTACACGCCCCCTTACGTTGTTCTGGCTGCTACAGCAGAGGCAGCGTGGTCAAGTGGCTGGAGCAGGATTCTGAGTTCAATTTCTGACTCACAGCATGACCTAGGGGGATAAGTGACTCCCCCAACCTCTTCTGTCCGAGGCGAGGGTAACATCAGGGGGGAGGAGCCCGGTAAAGCACTTTGGGATCAGCAGTGGGCAAAGGCCAGGGCAGAACCACCAACCAATGAGAAAGGAGGAGACAGGTCCACAGGCAGATGCTGAAGGTACCGGCTGGCCACTTTATGTATTCGGTACATGCCAGAGATCGCCGAGCGCACCTCAGACCTTGCAGAATACAAGGGGAGGGGGAGTTAAAAAGACCAGAGGGTGCAAAGGGGACAGAGCCAGCCCTGGGGCGAAGCAGGGGCCACTCCACTGATCCCAGGGCCAAGTCCCAGCTGGGATCGACGTGGGATCCTGCCAGCCCAGCGTGGATGGAGCAGATCCCCGCGCTGCTGCTCTGACTGGCATCCCTGTACAGCCCGGCATCCCTACACACCAGTGCCTCTTGGTGCTGATGGCGGGACGATGCGAGTTCAGGGCTTCCTTGTCCTGCCGCTCATCCACTTGACATTATCACCGGAGCGGGCACTGGGCTGGGGCCGGTCACAGTCTGGGAGGTGCTCAGGGAACTCGCTGAGCAGCTCCGGTCCTGCTGGCATTAACGCTCCAGGAGTTTATCCAGCCAGTCTTCAAGGAGGTGGCAACCAGGCCTGCCTCAACAATCCACCCCTCAGCAAAGCAACAGGCTGGTAACGAGACGACACAGCAACACGCCCAATCGGGGGGGCCCTCTAGCAAAGCAAATTCTGGATGCCAATCCCCACCCCTCCCTGCTTCACACAGCTTTTATATAAAACACCCTAAAAGCCCAGGGGCCTAGTGCCTGGCCGCAGCACCAAGGGAGATGGGCCGATCGCCCCGGCACGGCAGGGCCTGAGTGCGCTTGTGGAAGTGACGTGTGCACGTGCGATGGTGCGTCAACTGTCCCTGCTTGGAAGGGCGACGGGGCAGCTGGCTGGAGATTTGGAGGCAGATGTGGCCCTCTGGAGCCATCCCAGCAGTGACGGTCTGTGAAGGGGGATCCTGGCCAGCAGGTAGACCTGCTCCTGCATGGGGTCAGGCTCCCTGGTGAGCGCCTGGCTGCCAGCTGAAAATCAGCCTCGTCCCTTGTTTTGAAATCCACATTTGTCTTTCTGTGTGATCTGCGGTCACAGAGCGGTCGGAGCCCGGGGCTGAGTGGAGGAGAGTCCTTCCTGGGAGAACGCGCAGCGGGACAGAGCGGGGTCTCACCAGGTCAGAGTGTTAGCACGGCCGGGAACACCGCAGCATCTGCCAGAAACACAAATACGTGCGGGTCACCAAGGGGCTTGCGCCAGGCCCCACGCCCCGGTGCAGCGGGAGGGGCGCACAGGAGCGGGGAGCTGCCTAGAGTCACCGCCCCGTGTTCGGACAGAATCCAGGGCTCTGGAGGCACCTCGCACGGAGCTGCAGCGAGAGGAGCAGAGCGGGCGGACGCTTGCTCCTGCCTGCCGCTGTGGGATCTCACCCGCTGAGCGCTGCAGGTTCGGTCTCCGCTCTGCAATGGAGGGAGACCTGCGAGCACAGGCGCTCTGGGGGGTGCGCTCCGTGCACACAGAGGAGGGGCGGCACCTTACTTTTGGGGCTGCTCTGGCTGTCTTGCTCTGGCACCTTCCAGTCCATCTTGCGGCCCTTCTCGTAGAGGCCCTTGAGCACCTTGCGGAAGTCGTCCGGCTCCGTGGCGTTCTTGCTCAGCTCCAGGTACTTCCTGTAGAGCTGCAGGGCCGTCCGAGCGTCCTCGATGCTGTCGTGAGTCTCGCCCTGGATCTTCAGGTCTGGGGGATGCAGGGAGGGTTCGTCAGAGAGGGCACTACAGCCCCCGCCCCGATTCCCAACCCACACAAGGGGATTTCCTCCCCCTCCTGCTGATGAATACAGGGGGTCACTGTCCCTCAGTCCTAACTAGGAGCCCCCTGCTCCCATCCCCATCCAGCTCTGCTGATGGGCCGAATCTCAATCCCAGCCCCTCCTGTCCTGCCCTCCCCACACACAGCTCTACTGATGCCCCTTGATCCCGACCCACAGCAGCAGCCCCCGTCCCCAGTTCCAGACCAGCTCAGAGTTCCAGAAGCAGGGTGGGGCTGGAGGTGCCCTTCGTCTCTGAGCGACACCACAAGCAGCCAGTGCTCCCCTGTACCCGGGCCATGGGGCCGGCATCCATCTGGGGCTCCGGTGCAGCCCTGCCTGGCTGGGCCAGTCGCGATCTAGGCGTTTCCACTAACCCAGGAAGTACCAGGCAAGGAAGCGCAGAGAAATCATCCTCTTCCTCGGCATGTGGAACAGATACACGGTGTCAATCACCTGGTCCTTGGGCACCTGGCAGAGCAGAGAGAATCTGACCACCTAGGTTACGCGGGGTTAGTTCCCCCATCCCACCCACCGCCCACACAGCCCACCCCCAACCTGTCCCCCACACACCATCATCACCCCTACCCCAGACACAACTCCACCTCCCCTGGCAATCACACTGCTCAGTCCTTCACCCGTATCCCCCTACCCCGGGTTCTGCGAGCACGCCCCCAGTGAGAGAGAGGAAAGTTCCACTTAGGAAGGGAATTGAAGGTGCGTTTGCTGCAGGGGCTGAGAAATGTCCCGGGCTTTTACAAAGGGAAAGTCACCATGAGGTTGATGACCCGGAAGTCCTTCTGCAGCCCATGGCCCACGAATTTCACCCCGACATCGATGAGGAACCGCAGCTTCAGGTAGGTGGACTTAAGTGTGGTGAGGTGCTTGGAGGAGATCTTGGCATCCAGGTCGCCCGGCTTGATTCCTGAGTACTGGGTCAGGTAATCCACCACCTGCAAGGTGAGGGGCTGGTGATCACAGGGCGTGTGTGGGGGTGTGTGCTGGTGACTGCAGGGCAAGGAGAGGCTGGTGACTTGGCTGGTGGGTAGAGGGCCGGGGACCACCTGGTGACTGCAGTGGGGGGGGGGTGGAGTGACTTCCTGGTGGGGGGCAGGCAGTGTCAGGGGAGCCCCCCTCAGCCAGGAAGCCCACGGTGAGGCAGGTGGCCGCCCCCCCCCTTGGAGTGGGGCAGGGCAGGGCAGGGGCAGGGGCAGGTACCTGCTCCTGGGTGGAGATGTAGTCATCGATGAAGGGAATGCCCTCATTGGGGCCCTGGCCTCGCACGCACGTGATCCTAGCCACGGACATCTGGCTGGGCTTGATGGTGGATTTGGTGCCGTCACTGCGCAGCTCTGCCTCTTCCTGCACAGGTCAAAGGAGCCGTTGGCAGAGGAAGCCCCCCAGCCCTCACTGCCCCATCCCCAGGGAGCCAGGCCTCAGCCATCAGGAATTCCCATGGCCCTTTCTTCTGGCCACTGCTAGACCCCAGCAGAATGGCTCCAGACCCGGCCCCTTCCCGACCCCCCTCATCCAAACACCAGCGTCCATCCCGGCTGCAGCCTCTACCTCGTTAAGCGTGACGAACTCGGCGTCCAGCCCCACCAGGTCGCCCACCTGGGGCATCTCATTCAGCATGAGCGGGATGAAGGTGGCATGGCACTTGCGTTGCTTGCGAGCCAGGGACGCCTCGGCCAGCAGCACGCTAGCCTCGATCGGGTTCTTGACTTGGAGGCAGTAGGGGGAAGGGTGGAGAAGAGAGAATGCTCCGTCAGATGGGGCGCTTGGCTGCTGGATTCACAGCAGAAAAGGCCAGGCTGGGATCCCATGTGCTGCCTGGCACTCAGAGCAGCTGGAGCACGTGAAGGAGACGATGCCCTCCAGAGGGAAAGGGCCAGAGACCGTCGTCCTCCATCCAAAAATCAGCACCTGTTTCTAAGGGGTCACACACAAGCTTCTGAGGGTGCTGATGATACGGCCCTACCAGAGGGGGTGTGGAGCTGGGGCCTAGATGGACACAGAAATTCCAGCTGCCTTGCCTGTATGGCCCCGGCCGGGTCTCCCGCCCTCGACCAGCCACAAACCAGGGCTGGGAGAACCAGGTGCACAGACAGAAAAGGCATCAATATCTATGGTAGCGAACCCAGCACGCAGGGCTTCGTGCCCAACTGAGGGGGTCCAGCCCACGTGGACAGGACAAGCGAGGCTCTCGGTGGGGTGGCTCCCCCCTGCAGCCAACAGACCTGCCCTGCTCCGGGGTCCTTTAGAGACCATTCTTTGTCTCTTGGCAGAAGCCGTTCTAGGGGATCGTTGAACACATGAGAGAATGTGAAAACGACGTAGGTCCCCTGAAGTCAACGATGCTGATTTGCACCAGCAGGGGTCTGGCCCCCTTCCCACCATACAGGATGCTTTGTTTACTCCTTGTGCCGCATCTCACTGGGAGGGTGGAGCTGGACTGGTCAGTTTCACTTCCTGGTTCTGGGCTACCCCTAATGTCCTCTCGCTAGGGGCTTGTCCTTCACATGAATGACCCAGGGGTTGCCCCTAACCCAACTCCCCTCCACACACAAATCTCTAGCTCGAGGGAAGTGGTGCTTTAAACTGGATCTGGCTGGTCAGGCAGGGCAGAGCTCATTAGACAGCAGGGACACACTTACAGGCAATCACCTTAACACAACCTCTCAGCTGCTGCTCCACTCTGTGGCTGCTCTCACCCCAGTGGGGTAACCCGAGCAGAACGGGGCAGCGAAGGCAAGCCCCAGGGCTCCACACATGCGGCCCAGATGCGTAACCCCGCCCTGCGCCCGCACGGACACTCACTGGTCAGGTTGTACTTGGCGTGGAGGTTCCTTCGCGCGTAGTACAGGATGGCAGGCACCTTCCAGCTCATGTCAAACTGCACCGCCTCACACTGCGACAGAGGGAGGGACGTGTGTACGGACAACTCGGGGGGCCTTGGCCCGGCAGGGGCTGAGCTCCGAGAAGGCCTTCCTCCCCCCAAAACCCACAAAGCAGGACAGAGCAGAACGTAACAAGGTTTAAGCGCCCACATGCTACAGAGGATTCTATGAATTGGGGTGGGGGGGAAGGTTAAATCCAACCCTCCCGCCAGCAGAATCACAACAGGGGGCGCTCTCCGTCCCTGTCCCGGACCCATCTTCCCCCACCCCCAATTCAGACCCCCAACCCCCCCACCACCCACGTGGGCTACACAGGGGTCTAGGTTTCCTTTTGGCTCTCTCCCTGGTACCCTTCGATGAGGAGCGTGGGCATCATCTCTGTGGCCATCTGGGAATGGGCAGGTCTCACGCTGGGCAGCTGGAGACAGGACAACTTACAGCCACGGGGGCTGATGGCTGGTGGAAGCCCAAATCTATGCCTTTCCCCTCCCCCTTCACATCCCAGCAGCAGCATTCGGTAAAACACACAATCAGCAGCGCTGAGCAGCAGCAGCAGCCTCTCCCCTGGCCGCTGTGGGCTGATCCTGCTGCCTCTTTGGCACCAGGAGCAGGAGAGCCAGGACTGAGCCTGAACCAGGATCTCCCGAGCGCTACACCTGGCTTGGCCTAACTACAACTCCTAGCTCTTCTCCTCAGCAGATCTGAAAGTGGAGGTCAGGAGCGTTATTCCTGCTTCGTAGATGCAGAAATTGAGGCACGGAGCAGGGACGTGACTGCCCAAGGTCACCCAGCAAGTTAGCAGCAGAGCTGGGAAGAGAACCCAGGTACCCTGAGCCCCAGACCAGTGAACTGCACACTAGACCACGCTGCCTCCCTGGCCAGACCGGTCGCACAGTGCCACAATTCTGATTCTCGGGCTGCCCCCGGAATGAGGCTCCTTACCTTGTCCACCGGCTCGATGAGGAAGTCGTTGAAGAGATACCACTGCTGGTGTGTGACCCCCTGGGGGTGAGAGAGAGGCAGAGTTGGTCCGTAAGCTTGTGTCAGGCACTGTATTTCTTAGCTGTTACCCAGGGGCCCAGGCACTATCCCCTCTGGAACACGTCCCCCTTCCTGAGACACTCATGGGAAAGAACCCAGCCAAGAGGAGGTTCCCCCAGGGTGGGGCTGGGGTCTGAGTGAGCGGCTGGGAGAGAGGTGGGCTCGCCCACTCACCTCTTTCCTTTGGTGATACGTCTCCCCTACTTTGATGTGCCCCACCAGGCTGCCCCCGGTGCGGGAGTCCAGAATGTGGACAACGGTGGCCATCAGGTCGTACGTGTAGGTTGAGTCCTGGTCATCGGATGAGCTGAGCTGCAAGGAAGAACCCACCCCCGGCGGTTATGTGAATCTGCTGAGAACTGGCTGACCTGGGCCAGGATGGACGCAGCTCAGGACAGGGGAAGCCTGTGCAATGGGTCAAGGGAAATCACCTTGGGAGAGGCAGCTCCCACGGCTGCAACACAAACCCGCAGAGCCTGGCAAAGCCAGAGCCGCTCCCAACCGTGCCCAAGTTCTGCCATCAGGCCAGTGGGGGCAAAGTGGTCCCGTGGCACCAGCGAAAGGTGACTCAGGCCTCCACAGCTCTGCTCCCCAGCACGCAGGCCCCTGGCTAAGGGGGACCCACTTCGGTGAGTGAGTTCCATCTCCACTCCATCCTCAACCTTCCAGGCACTCCAACCCCCTCGTGCTGGGGGGAGCCCGCTGGCTCCCCATACAAGCGTGGCCATGGTCAGCAGTTCCCTCTCTCTGCCCTTGACCTTGCCTGACAGACTTTCGACCCCAGCAGAGCCAGGGAACACATTACCTCATTGCTTTCGTTCCAGTTGCAGACATCCAGCTCCTTGTTCTTGGTCAGTTTCATCCGGATGGAATGGGGAATCCAGATGTTCTTCAGCTCTTCGATGGAGGTGTACGAGTGCCCCGCCTCGGCGTTCCCCAGGTCCTTCCTGCCAGGAAAGGACAACAGGGAATTCCAGACCTTGAACACAGGAGGGAGGGGAGAGATTCTGGGAGTTTCGGACACTGAGGGCCGGATCCCCAGCTGGGGTAAACCGGCATGGTGCCAGTGAAGTCCACAGAGCTGCACTGATTTACACCAGCTAAGGATCCGGTCCTGACCTCTTGGGAGGGAGGCTAGATGGTGCCAATCGAAGATGGTCAAAGCAGTGAAGGAGGGTGATCACCAGGAAATCTAGTCTGCCCTGCCTAGTCTGCAAGAGACCAAGGGAGTGGAACAGGCAGCAGGAGCTCTGCCTCTGGGCCAAATTCACCCCTGGTGTAACTCCACTGATGCCAGAGGGTGACTTCAGGCTGCTGAAGGTTATGGGGCCCTCACAGGGGAGATGTAAAGCCAAGGTCCCGATGCTAATGGTCAGAAAGGATCGCAGGGCACTTTTCCCTCGGTGTCTGGCCAGTCCAGTGGAGGTAAATGTTAACAACACAGCGTTACACAGGGCTTAAGCCTGCAAACATGAATTACATTCTGCTCCCACAATTTCCTTGGGCAGATTCCTCACTTCATGCATTTCCTATACTGTTGGGTGGTGCTGCTCAGTGCTGTTAAGCAGCTGCTGCATCTCAGCCCAGAGGTGGCTGCATTTCAGTGTGCATTGTTTGTGGTTCAGTTTAAAAAGCGTTTTGGGACGTAAGGTGCTGTAGACAGGCAAGACAAAATCACTGTCAAATGAGAAACAGCACCAAGTTCTCCGAGGCCATGGGAAGGATCCAGATGGCAAAACTTCTAAGATGGACAAAAGCCCATTTGTCCTCTGCCAGCAAGTACCTACCATTCTCCAAGAGAGATCTCTTTGCTCTTGGGGATTTCGAGGCCTCCTTTCCTCATCACTGTTTTTTTAAAGGCATACTGGCAACAAAACACAGATCAAAAGCATCAGCAAAGGAGCCAGGAGACAGGCTTCTGAAACGAATGTGTAGCTGGTGACAGCTGGCCTTTGGGAAAGGACAGAGCCCCCGACATTAGTGGCACGGAGAAACAAAACGTGGGAAATCATTTCAGTGGACGAAATGCAGACAGCCTCACGGCAGAGTAAAGAGACATTTAGAAGGTGTGGGAACCGTGTTTGGAATTCGAGTACACAGATAATGCTCAGAGGCTGATCACCCACAAGCGGATCTTTCAAAGGTAACGAGGACAGGTTAGGAATAAGATTTATGGATCCTTGGAAAGTTCACGCTGCTGAGTAACGATCAAAGAAAACCCCTCTAAGGGTATGTCTGTCCGACAGCCACGGGAAGCAACGGCAGCTCATGTCGACGGAGCCGCACTAGCGAGGAAGGTGCTGCAGGGGATGCTGCAGCCCAGGCTGTACCCGTTGGCCAAGGCCCTGGGCAATTAGTCGGGCCACCAGACCGCGCTGCTACTTTGCTACTCCAGCCCCTGAGCTAGCTAGATGAAGGCTCCTGCAGTCGCACCCAGTGGCCGCACTGTGGACAAACTGCCAGCAGATCCTGCACCGAGCTGGGCACAGAGTGACCTGCGGCTGTCAAGAGAAAAGACCGGCCTGCACTCAACCAAACAACATTTCCCCTACCTCCGCCTGTGTCTTCCAGAAATCGGCCTCCTTGGAGCTGTTCACTTCGCAGTTAATGACTAAGACATCGGGCAAGCAGCGGATGTTCCGTGTTTGGACCTTTATTAGGACAGACAGAAAGAGGGCGGGTGGGTGAGGGGCATTGCCAGTGGCCCTGAAGGGAAGATGGGAAACAGACTAGTACTGCGCCTCTGTCTGTCAATTTCCTCTGCAGAAGGCTCCGCCCACTGAGCTGCCTACTCCCCTTGCAGGTGGGTCAGCATTAGCCATGTTCACAGAGATGGAAACTGAGGCACGGAGCAGGGAAGTGGCTTGCCTGAAGCTGCCGTGCCAGCGTCGGGCTTGGTGCTAGGCTCAGAACTCAGCTCCCAGTCTAGCCCCTCCAGACTGCTCCCATCTAGTCCCCCAGACGCTGGACTGTTCTCTGCAATGTCCAGTCTGAGACAGGGCTTTCCCCGCTTCCCTTGGGAGATTATCGCCCAGGGTAATGGAGCAGGGCCCTTTCGCCAGCTCCACCCCTGCCCAGCTGATGCCCACAATGAAGGGGATATGCAGGCAGCGAGTGGCCACCTCCCAAACTCACCGTGGGCTGGTACTTCTCACAGTTCTCGCACCAGGCCTGGGTGTTCTGCTCCAGACAGATGCTCCTCTTTAAGATCTGGGCAAACTCATAATCTTTGGTTTTATCTGAGGGCAGATGTGGCGGGGTGGGGGGAGGAGAACAATTTCATTTTATCAAAAGAGGAATCCCTAGAGATTGAGTCCAGATGTAAATTCGACCTGCCAGACTCCGGACAAGGGCTCTGACCCATTCCTCAGGAGCAACAAAGCCCAGGCAAACTCTGTCCCCGGAGCTGGAAGTGATTCACGGGTGACCGGACAGCTGGAGTGGGATCACTGCAGGACAGAGCACGCTGGGCCCCAGCTGCCTGTGCTGATAAAGGCTGGTGCAGCAGGTGAGGAGTGTTTTCATTGGCCAGAGGTGTCTGTACAGTGGGGACAGCAATCTGCTAAAGGTGGGGCCCACCAGGATGGGGGTTAAAAGTCCCCCTCGGCCTCCTGAACCCAAGGAAGATTGAGCCAGCCTCACCTGCGCCCTGGTTTACAAGACGTAAGGTAGCCACCATCCGCTCCTGGTCCCGCTCCCCCCAGCCCTCTCCACGTACCCCTCGCCCCTCAAGGTTACCGTTGCTCTCGGGGTAGGAAAGCGTGAAGAGCAGCGTGGAGGAGACTCGCACCGTCTCCTTCCCACAGCGGCACATGCTGGAGTTCTCCACCTCGCAGCTGCAGAGCTGCCCGATCACCGAGTCCCCCGACGACCCAAAGCTGCTGGAGCAAACGAAGCACGTCCAGGTCAGCGGGGGTGGGGGCTGATAATTCAGGAGTCTTTCGAGGCCCAGCAGGGCGAGAGCGTGGCATTAAGCCCTTACATGCCCTTCCTGGGCCGGGCACTTGAAGGTGGCAGCTGCCAACAGGATCCTGGAAAACCCAAAGGAGTGGGCGTGGGTTTGGAGCCGACTCAGTGGTAGCTCTCTGTGGTGACACAGCCAGTCACCCCCCTGGGCAGCCACGGAGGGGTGACAAGAGGTCAGGGGTTAGTGAATAGGATGGGTCAGACCCACGGTGGCTTGGGTCCACTTCTGGCTCTGTGCCCGGGATTGGACCAGCACGGGCTGTGGGAGAGCCAGCACTGTGCCCAGCTCCCGCAGCCTGTTCCACACCAGACTCTGGCTGACTGGGCCCCCCCCCCGATACAGCCTCTAAGGAAGGAGACAGACCCCACGCCCGGGCGGTGTGCCCCCACTCCTAGCCCAGCAAGCAGCGGGTGCAGGGGAAAGGGGTTACCTGCTGCCGACACCCCGATAGGCCTGCGGTGCCTCCTGCTCCTGGGTCTCCTGGTGAAGCTGCGTCAGGATGAAGCGGTTCCAACTCTGGATCAACCGGCCCAGGTTCACTTTGCCCGTGGCCTCATCGGAGTCGGCCAGGATCAGGCCCAAGGCGGACGCCTCTGGGATGGTGCGGAAGGCACGCAGGAAGTTGCTTCCCTGTGGGAGGGGAAGGATTGGAGCATTGGGGCGGGTGGGGGGGGGGACGAGAGAGATGGCATTACCCAAATTCCTTAACGTGGTCCCTTCCGCATGGTGCCAAGTGCCCTCCCTCTCTGCCCCTAAACCCCTGGGGATCTCATCCGCCAGCAAAGCGAGACGCTGCCGGCTGCTTCCCCCGAGTCCCTGCCGGTGCAGCCCCAAGTCACAGTCACAGCCCAAGACCCTGTTCAAGAAGCACCCTCCCCTTCCCCAACAGCCCTGCTGCTTGGCATCTGCTCCCCACGTACCTGGCACGGGTCCCCCCGGGACAAGTCCAGCATGTGGAAGAGAAAGCCCAGTTCACAGCCCAGGCAGAACTCCTTCTGGCACAGGTGGTTCTGGACCAGGCAGCGGACGGGCTCCAGGAAATACAGGACCTGGGGAGGCGGCAGCAGGGCGAGTGAGGGGGGTGCGCTGGAAGGCTGCAGCAAGCCCTGGCGAGGGAGGGGCTGGGTGCCAGTCTCACCTGGATCATGCAGTTGCAGTAGGCGTTGGGGATGTGGGGCTCCAGGCCAGCAAACAGGGTCTTGTTGTAATGCTTGAAGTCGAAGTCCTCCAGGCCCAGCTTGGAGTATTTGATTGTGACCTGGACAGAGAAGGGAATCCTCAGAGACAAGCGAAAACCTTGGCCCCGAGCTGGTCTGTTGCACCAACACACAATCACCTGCACAAGCACTTGTGTGTGCGGGAGCATTCAGTGAATACACACGCGTTGACATGAGCGCACCCCAATACACAAGCACTCACAATCAGAAGCGATTCTAACACATCACAAGTCAGACCCCCGGGACGGTCAATGTGAACCTCTCCCAGGCACCCAGCACCACTCAGGATCAAACCACGAGTGAGAAATGCTGACTCCAGCCCACTCTTTTACCCTCCTGCCTGGAGGGGGACCCGCTGTCTGTATAGGCACCTTGGGACAGCAAGGGATCTTGCGGGGTGGGAGCTGGGCCACCCCACTGAGCCGCATGGGCTGGAGGCTGCCTTTCTGGGCTGTTCACACATGACCCTTGGGGCACTAGCTCTGTTCTACCCAAATCTGGCTGATCCTTCCTGTGACAGCTCATTACATCTTCACCTGCCCCTCCACTCCCTCGTAGCCCCAAGCCCCTCTGGCAGATGTTGCGAGTCAGACCTTCCTGTATTTCTTTGCCACCATGTACAGGTGAGGTTCCTCTTCCCGGCCAATTGGGGATTCAGGGACCTGGCTGAAACTGTCAAACTCGTTGTCCAGCTCTTTCAGCCGATACGGGATCTGAGGGAGGCAGGAAGGAAAAGGAACAAAGCAGCTTAATGCTGAGGCCGAGTCTGTCTGGAGCAAGCATCCAGCGAAACAAACAACGCATAACCTTGCCCGGCCCCCGAGCTGGGTCCGGGGCCCAGATCAACCAATGGAGCGAAGGACTAAAGCAAAAGAGGGAAAGGACACTTCCCTTCACCTAGACAAAGCTCCTCATTCCTCTTCTTATTCTTGGTGTTGTTTTAAACTGTTCTGGAACTGCTGATGCAAACAACACAGAGCAGTGGTCTGCCAAGGGTTGGTTTAGGGAACCCTCGGCATTGGGGTACTCAGACCTTTTCATAGTATGGAGCACATACTAACTGCGCCCAGAACTCTCTTGTGCTGGTCTGCCCCTGGGTATTCTCTCCCCTCCCTTAGAGGCCAGGTCACGCTGTTACATTGCAGAAGAAAACATCTGTGACTGGTACATGATGGTTAAGGCCAGAAAGGACCTTAGATTATCTCGTCAGAGCCCCTGTATAGCCCGGGATGCAGAACTTCCCTCATCTACCCCAGCATCGAGACCAGTAACTTGTTTCGAATCCCATTCCACATTAACACACAGAGCTGACCTCACCCGCCACTGAAACGCAGCCCCCTCTGGGGTGAAACACAGCAGCTGTTCAAACAACGCTCAGCAACACGAGATCACGGCAGTCTCCCAAGCTGGCAGAGAAAGGCTGAGCACTCAAACCCCCATGCGCGCGCACGCACACCTGGTTCCGGAGCTTGGTCCTTGGGTTTGGCGCATAGCCGATGAAGCCCACTTTCTTCATGGTGCGCAGGATCTCGGGGTCTACAGGTGGGGCCCGCCTACAAAACAAAGCACAACTCAAAGATCAGCCAGAGGTGCTGGGTTGACAGCCCTGGTCACTCGAGTCCTGTATTTGTTCACGGAACAGAGAGAGCAGCTGTACAAACTTCCACCCCAGACACTGGCTCCCACCTTCCCACCCAAAGTGATGACAGGACTGTTCCCTGGAATGCATTCAACCCTTGGCTTCTCTATAGCCAAGGCCAGCAAGGGGGCTAATGGGTGAGGGGTTCGGTGTCATGGCGAATCACCACCAGACCACCAAGTGGAGCATGGCGTTTAACTTACTGCAGCATCCAGTCAGCTGCCTATGGGGTGGAACGCAGCAGCTGCACTGTACAGCAATTTAGGACAGGGCCAAAGAAGAATACTAAAGCCGGTCAAATGGGGAAGGGGATATTTAGATACACAGAATGTAATTACACAAATTGGAATTTGACCAGGAAGCCCAGGGCACCACCCTGATTCTTGAGGAAGTGCCATGGGATTTCCCATGACCACAAGCAACCAGGACCTCAGAATTACAACTCATCAACGCAGCAGCAGCCCCTAGCATAACGGTGGGGCACTGGTTTGGTATGGACTCCAGAGGGAATGTCTCCTCTTGGATCGTCAATACGAGGGTGGATAAAAATCAATGATTTTTTTTATTTAAATCGGAGTTTTTTGATAAAATTCTTTTTGAGGGAAAAACCTGTCTAAAGATAGTTTTAATTAAGATACATTATAGCTCAAAGATCTCTCATCATGGAATAGGGATTATAAATTCTAATTCTATAGTATGAGACAATATGTTCATGTCATGTTTAAGAAAAGTTTTGTAAATGAGTTCCAATAGTTCACGGATTAGGGACCCAATTTTATGGGGTTCCACAGGCTTCTGTAGAGATTATTTAGGTTAATCTTTCTATCTACCCAATGGGACTCAGTGCTCAGTCTAGAAGATACCATCAGAGATGCTTCGTTTTGCAGTTCTCAAACTGTGGATTTGTGTCTCCAGAGGTAACATGCTTGTTAACAGCAAAAATGTTTTAAAATAAAATAAATAAATAGAGAGAGAGAGAGAGGGGTGAGAAATAACAGACCTCAACTCTATTGTCCTCTGCAAATTTGTGTACACAGAGTCAATCCCTTACCTCTCTCTAAAAGCGCAAAGTTTCAAAAAGTTCAACTAATAGAAGATTGTTGGGGGCGGAATAGATCTGGACAGGAGAAGTCTGGAGATAAAATGTGAGATGCGAGGGACATATGCTTGTTTTGTTACAATATTATATGTTTGCTATTGAAGAAAAAAAAAATCCAGAATACTTAACGTTGTTGTTTTAGTTAAATAAAACAATTTAAATATCTGTCTGGTGATGTTCTCCTCCTAATCCAGCATGGCAAGAAAATCCTCCAAATATTAATGATTAACCTGTTGAAATGGAGACAGTTCATCTCCCAATGACTTCATAAATATCTGCTTCAATTACCTTTGGTAAATGAAATAACCAAACAATCCTTCATTTTCTCATATAGCTGTAAAACTAATCTGAAAAGTTTTGAAAATAAATATCTGTTTCAAAATGTATAGTGTGTACCTTCTAAAATGAATCCTACATCTCTCTCTGAGTTATGAAGAATATAGATTAAGGTTATAACAACCAACGAGAATGCACTTTTATGTAGAAAACCATGATTAAATCAAGCCTTCCTGACTAGTGATTTAAATCAATTTGATTTCAATCAAATCCACCCTGGTCAATACCACTTCTTGAAGCCCCCTACTCTTTCCCCTTCAATACCTGACCTGGCCCAATCCTGCCTGGCTCAGGAGAGCTAAAGGGAACCAAGTCTGAAGTGACAGGGCTGCCATCTCGGGAAGCTCTGCACTGTACAGGCTAGTTACATGCTTTTTGCGAGAGCCCTGATGAGTTACCTGGGCGCAGGGGCAGAGTTGGCAGCAGGCCAGTCTGACAGCAGTGTTTCACTGGTCAGTGGCACGGGGATCAGAGAAAGGGGCATGAGGTCCTGGTTCCAGTCCAGGTGAGGCAGGGTGTCTACCATACAGGGCAGGGCAAAGTCAGTCTCCCGGGAGTAGGCGTTGAAGGTGACCTCGGGCGAATCGGCCCAGAGGTGGACGCAGCCCTCCGAGTCGCCAAACACCATGGCCTGCTTGCTGGCCGACACATCAAAGGTCATGATCAGCTGCCCCACCGTGTTGACGTGGAAGATGTCAGCGGGGTTGGCAAGGCCTGTGGGCTCACAGAACTGGCACTGACCTGACGGGAAGAGCAGAGAGGCTTCAGGGAGGGGGCACAGCACAGAACTCCCAGCAAATCTCACACCGATAAGGCCCTATACTGGCTTCCATCCAGAGATCCCACCTCACTTTACAGACCAGACACACAAGGATCCCTTCTCTGAGCTCTGCAAGACACTCCGCTGAGCTGCCAGACAAGGGCTGAGACGGACCTTGCTGGATTCGAACCTGTGGTTCCCCAGGATCCAGATAAAACCCAAGGGCTAGGGAGCCCAAGGTGAACCACCTACCTGTCTGGGAGATGATGGCCAGCCGGGAGGTGTAGGTGGGGATGAACCTGAGGAAGAGGGGGTCCACGTGGACCTGCAGCGGGGTGATGGCCCGCATCATGCGCAGGTCATACACCTTCAGGAAGCGGTCGCAGGCCAGGCCGTTCATGCGACTGGAGAAGCCGCATGTCACCAGCAGGTTGCCGTGGACGTCGAAATCCGACAGGCTGCCCGAGTAGGCGTCGAACTCATGTTCCGCCGCGAAGGTGCGCAGGTCCCGCAGGGACACCTAGGGGGTGGCACAAAGGAAGCACTGGTAATAGGAACAGAGGCAGGGGGGCCCTTGGGGGCTGTTTAGCCCCAGGAGATCACAGGGGGACAAACAGGAGAGGAAGGAAGGGCCAGTGGTTAGAGCACTAGCATAGGACTTGGGAGACTGGGGTTCAAGGCCCTGATCCACCCCAGACTTCCTGGGCCTTTGCGACCATGGGCAAGTCCCTTAGCCTCTCTGTGTCCATCTGCACCTCAGGGGTAAGAGCCCTGTGAGGACACAGTACCCATGGTGAGGTGCTGACATTACGGCGATGGGGGCAGATCAGTAGCCAAGACAGACTGAATACATGGGAACTTCCATGATTGCCTGGCACGGGAGCAGGGCTCAGACTCAGCATCTCAGCCCTCTCTCCACCATCAGCTGCTGCCCCCTGCCAGAGGATGCAGGAAGGCCACTGTGTGAAGTGCTTTGGTGCCCTTCGGGGGGAGCAGTGCCATAGCAACATACACTCCTCTCACTTCAGTCTCCTGGTGACCCAGATTGAGCCGCCTGCCCCGAGCAGCTGAGAGGAGACAGCGCTTTGTTATGCCAGAGCTGGACACGCAGCCCTGGAAGGGAACTCCGGGGTCAGCAAGTCCGGTCCCTCCTATGGCAGGCAGCCACGTTCCATCATCCTGTTCACAGACGGCTCGAGCTCCTCGGTCAGAGTCCCTGGCTGGGAGAAGACTCAACAGGCAGGAGCAGGGCTGCGGGTACCTTCCCCGTTGTGTGTCCGCAGAAGAAGAAGCGGTTGGACTGCCTCAGGATGGTGACGCCGGGCACCTCCACAGTGTACTGGAAAGGAAAGGGTGAAGAGAGGAGGAGATACTCACCCTCAGAGGAGAGGGCAGCTGGCCTCCGGGGCTGTGAACCTGGCAGCACAGAAACCAGAGCCTGATCACAGCCCAGGGGGAAGGCAGCGTGAACTAGTGGTTAAAGCTGGGGACAGGGCTCCTAGGTTCTAACCCTCCCTCTGTCACAGACCCCTCTCTGTACCTCAGTTTCCCCTGCTGTTTAGTGGGGCTAGCACTCCTTATTCGTTAACCAGCCTGCACACAGGAGTCAGGGATCTGCAGACAAAGGGTCGTTGAGAGGTTCTTGCCCAGCAGCAGCCTCTGCATTAGCAGGAGGCATGTGGAACCCCTCCCCGCTGCCCTTCTGGGACAAGCTGAATATGTCAGAATAGGAGTCAGAGAGATCTCTCCCTGCTATACCCCCCCAAACCCAGCGGGGCCAGAGTCCCAAGGGGCGCCAGGCACCTGCCTCTCCCATGCATGCCAATGGGAGGCCAGGGTGCTCAGTTCCCCTCAGGATCAGGCCCACAAACAGAGGCCATTGGTACCTTCTGGGTCTCCTGGACAGTGTTGAGGTCGATCTCGATCACGTGGTTCTGCAGCCCCCCGATCAGCAGGGTGCTGCTGTTTGTCAGCAGCAGGCTGTGCACATCCTCGCTCTCGTCCATGCTGACGGAAAGGGAGAGAACAAAACCTCATTCTCCTGCTCGGCTCTGGGCACCCCAGGCCTCCCTCCTGCCCTCAGACACACACTGATTCGTGCACCTACCCCCAGCAGGGCCACGTGCAGAGGGGGGGTGGGCACACCTCCCCCCCCAGCACAGACTCGGTCCGAGTTGGTTCAACTCCGGACCGGGTCAGTGTTGGTATGGGAGCTTTTCCCCTTCCCCTGTGCAAAGGGAGCTGCAGGAGTTCCTAGTGCCCATGTCACATCACCGTTAGGCCAAGGACTGAATGGGGCTCCCTCCTCGGCCTAGAGAGGATCCTTATGGGGCCAGCATGAGGCTTTCCTTCTCTGTCAGCACAGCCAGGCTGTCGCCCTGTGGAGGAAACTCACAGGTAGTCGAAGATGGTCAGGCCCCCCCGGGACATATACTTGAGGTTCGTCTTGGTCAGGAAGAGGACACCGTTCTCCAGGCTCTGGATCTGACGGATGTCATCGCTGCTGCTCACCTGGAAGGAGGAATAGCGCTCCAGGGCCGGGCCGAAGAACGAGGTGGCGTGACCCTGAAATGAAGCGGAAAGGCCGGCCTGGGGTGGACTCTTGAACATGCAACACCTCATCATCCTCACGCTAACACAATGCAGTTTGATGCCACCGATGCACGGATTCCAAGGCCAGACGGGCCCACTGTGATCATCGAGTCTGAGCTCCCAGCTAGCACAGGCCACAGGACTGCCCTGAACTCATTCCTCTCTGAACCAGAGCATGCGTTTTAGAACAACATCCAACCTGGATTTCAAAATTGCCAGGGATGGAGATTCCATCACGACCCTTGGCGAGTTGTTCCAGTGGATAATTAACTTCACTGTTCAGAATGTGTGCATTCCTATCCTATTTAACCTATTCATAAATGATCTGGAGAAAGGGGTAAACAGTGAAGGGGCAAGGTTTGCAGATGATACTAACTGCTCAAGATAGTTAAGACCAAAGCAGACTGTGAAGAATTTCGAAAAGATCTCACAAAACTAAGTGATTGGGCAACAAAATGGCAAATGAAATTTAATGTGGATAAATTTAAAGTAATACATATTGGAAAAAATAACCCCAATTACACATACAATATGATGGGGGCTAATTTAGCTACAACTAATCAGGAGAAAGATCTTGGAGTCATCGTGGATAGTTCTCTGAAGACATCCATGCAGTGTGCAGCGGCAGTCAAAAAAGCAAATGGGATGTTAGGAATTATTAAAAAAGGGATAGAGAATAAGACAGAGAATATCTTATTGCCTTTATATAAATCCATGATACGCCCACATCTTGAATACTCCGTACAGATATGGTCCCCTCATCTCAAAAAAGATATACTGGCATTAGAAAAGGTTCAGAAAAGGGCAACTAAAATGATTAGGGGTTTGGAACAGGTCCCATATGAGGAGAGATTACACAGGCCAGGACTTTTCAGCTTGGAAAAGAGGAGACTAAGAGGGGAAATGATAGAGGTCTACAAAATCATGAATGGTGCGGAGAAAGTGAATAAGGAAAAGTTATTTACTTGTTCTCATAATATAAGAACTAGGGGCCACCAAATGAAATTAATGGGCAGCAGGTTTAAAACAAATAAAAGGAAGTTCTTCTTCACTCAGCGCACAGTCAACCTGTGGAACTCCTTGCCTGAGGAGGTTGTGAAGGCTAGGTCTATAACAGGGTTTAAAAGAGAACTGGGTAAATTCATGGAGGTTAAGTCGATTAGTGGATATTAGCCAGGACGGGTAAGGAATGGTGTCCCCAGCCTCTGTTTGTCAGAGGGTGGAGCTGGATGGCAGGAGAGAGATCACTAGATCATTATCTTCATGTGTCAGTATATTTATGTCTGCATCTGTAATTTTCACTCCATGCATCTGAAGAAGTGGGGTTTTTACCCATGAAATCTTATGCTCAAATAAATCTGTTAGTCTTTCAGGTGCCAACAGACTCCTTGTTGTTTTTGTGGATACAGACTAACACGGCTACCCCCTGATACTAGATCGTTACCTGTTAGGTTCACTCCCTCTGGGGCATCTGGCATTGGCCACTGTCTGTAGACAGGATACTGGGCTGGATGGACCTTTGGTCTGACCCAGTGTGGCCATTCTGATGTTCTTACGTTCCTGTCTAGCTGCAGCATCCAGACGCTGGATTGCCTTAACCTCTGTCTGCCCGCCTGAAGAGCCCATCATCAAATATTTTTCCCCCACCTAGGTACTTACAGACTGTGATCAAGTCACCCCTTTACACAACGCGCCCGACCCTCAGCTGCTGCAGCAGCAGGGACGTTACAATGAGAAAGCGGGCAGAGGAAGTGTGAACCGTGGGTACCTGAGGGGTGCCAGGGAAAGGGAGAAGGAATGGGACCCTCTGGTAGAAGAGTGCCCAAGGATGGGCACTCAGCCACATTCTAATAAAGGGGGGATGAAGAATCAGTGAGGCAGGCGGACCAGCCCAGACTGCTGCTGCTGCCACACTCGGGAAAAGTAACCCTTCTGGAAAGGAGGGTGGCTGGAGTCAGCAGGGCAGAGGGAATGAGTGGGGGATGGCATGCAGATGGGGTCAAGGCTATAAATCAGGTATTGAAATGATTAGGGGCACCACAGGAAGTCAGACAACATGACAGAACGGGGGTGAGGGACAGAGGGAGGATAAAATGGTCTGTTGCACTAGAGCAGGGAGGTGGAATGGACCAATGCTGTGTCGTGGTACGGCAGGGAGGAAGGGCTACCAGACTAGACAGAGCGTTGGTCTATTCTGGTGCAAAGACTCTTACAATGGGGTAGCCTGTGATAGCAGGGGACTGGATTCAATAAGGTCCCTTCCAGCCCTACATCCCACATTCTACTCCAGTATCCAGAGAGGGATTCTCATCTGTCTCACCGGTTCATCCACTCACCGCCCGACAAACATAGGGAGAAGAGATCAGCCCCTCTGTTTTGAGTCTCAAACCCTCGCCTTTATCCCCACATCCCAGAAGAATCCTTCAGTCATTTCCCTCGTTGGAAAATGGTCCAAGACACATGGAGGAAACAAAAACCTTACAGCCCATAAAATCAGAGCAGACAAGTGACTAATCCAAACCACAGCAACCCCCTTCCCCAAGGCGGCTGTCCCACAGGGAACCCCAAGCACCACCTACCCCATGATTCCCCACCCAGAGCATCTCTTCGTGCAGATCGAAATGGGAGACGGAGACGGGTACCCCCACCTCGGAGACCACGGTGTGCAGCTCCGAGTACATGCCCTCCATGATGTGCACCGACTCCGGCACCGGGATGCCCTCCAATGGCACCCCCTCCGGATCCAGCTCCACATTCTGCAGCAGGGCGGGGTTGAGGTGAGGGTCCAAGACTGGATCCAGGGCTGGGTGGAGAGCAGGTGCATACTCCGCAAGGGCAGGGTCGAGACCTTCAAAATTCATGGTGAAACTGGATGTCTCCCTTTAAAACAATGGGCAAATCAGAAACACAAAAGGCCCCTGTGTTCTTAGCAACTAATATCTACCCCTGAGGGCATTCTGTGCCAAAAAATTAAGAATTCTGCACCAAAAAAATAAAAATTCTGCGCACAGTATTTTAAGATTCTGCAAAATTCTGCAAATGTTATTTGTCAAATAAATGTGGAGGCTCCAGCATGGCATTGGGGAGCACAGGCCACTGGCTGCACAGAGGTCGGAGATCACCGTGCAGCTCCTCCCCATCCCCAAGATACGGACTCAGCGGTGAGGCTCCACCCGACCCTGACACAGGTCAAGGACTGGGCTTGCCCCAGAAACACCCAAGGGCTCTGCCCCTCCGTGCCAGGTGCAGGTCTAAGCAGGCAGGCTCACAAAGCAGGATCCAAGTGTGGAGGGGCTTAGCGTAGGGGGATCCAGGTGTGGGTTGAGAGGGTTCTGTGTGGGGCAATCTGGGTGCAACAGTAATGGGACTCTGCATGGGGGGGGAGGCAGGTGAAGGTGGTTGGGCTCAGCGGGGGGGTCTGGGTGTGTGGGGGATAGAGCTCGGCAGGGGGGTCTGAGTGTGGGGAGCTCAGTGGGGGGTCCAGATGCTGGAGGAGTGGGGCTCAGTGGGGTGGGGATCCAGGTGCAGCTGGTCAGGGCTCAGTAGGGTGGGGATCCAGGTGCCAGTGGCTCATCAGGGTGGTCCTGGTGCAGGGAGAGTGGAGCTCATCGGGGAGGGGGGGGGAGGTGTCTGGGTGCAAGTGGGCTGAGGCTTGGCGGGAGTGTCTAGGTATCAGGCGGTCTGGATGCACAGGGGTTGGGTGGATGTAGGAGCAGTTCCCTGTACAGGGATCCCTCCCCCTCCAGCTCAGGAGCAATGGGTGCAGGAAGCATGGGGGAGGGGGAGTTTGCAGAGATTCCTACAGCCGGGGGAGAAATCTGAGGGTGGGTCTGATAAACCCTGGATGCTGCGTAGGGGAATAGGAAGCCCGGTCCTCTCCAGCCCAGCTGGGACTAGCAGCTGAGCCCAGTGCAGGGTAAGAGCCACCAGCTGGGTCTTCCCCAGTCCTGCCCCCTCCCCCACAATGATTTACCTCTCTGCCGGCTGCCCTGGGCACCCAAAACATACTGCTGGGGAGGGTCGCATGACTGCTTTTGTGGCTTCCCTTTGCTTCCTCATCATTTTTCTGCAGGGAAGCAAAGAAATCTGCGGGGGGCATAAATTCTGCGCATGTGCAGTAGCGCAGAATTCCCCTAGGAATAAATATAGCATTATGGGCATCAGAATGGAAAAGGCCTATGAGGTCTCTAGGAAGGGTAAGTATTTAGCTCACCTCTAATATGAAATCTATGAGTGATAGATGATGACAAGTCCTTTAGCGAGGGGTTCTTTGCCCTTCTGTCATTAAGGGCCCAGAGTGCTCTGGGAAAGGTGTATTCAGCTCTGCACTGAGGTGGAGGAGAGGCAGCTAGGCCCTTGGCACAATCAAGGGTAACCTGCACTCCTGTTGGGCCCATTCCACCCCAGCCATGACAACTCCTCCCCACCACGTCCCCTGCCTCCTCTGGCCTAAATCCACTCCACAGCGGCCCCTGGACCCAGCCTGCTGCAGAGATAGTGCCAAGGTTGGTTTGTGCCGGGCACAGGTGCTGTCTGTGCCAGGGGTATCGCCAAGATGCCTTTGTACCAGTGGGCCATAGCACAATACTGAATCTGGCTCTTTGACAGACACCAGAGGACCTTGGTTAGACGTTGGCAGACCTTGTAACAATAAAGAGTCGCTGCATCTAACTGAGAGCAGCCTAGTTACTGCAGCAGGGGAGTGGGATTCAGCTGGGCAAGGCTGGACAGCAGAGGTGGGTAGCGATTGCTTCCTGACTCTGGAGAGGGAGTGGATCAGATCCTGAAGCATGTGACCTGATTCCCCTTACTGGAGCACAAGCAGCTGGCAATGCTGCTCCAGCCACACACAAGCCCCTTCTGCAAAGGTCCATTTGGTTCCCAGGCCTCGTCAGTACTTGGTCCCTCCGCTGAGGCGGGCAGCGAGGATACAGGGTAACTAGAACATGGCCACCTGCCTGCTGAGAACCAACGACAAACTGCTCATTACACATCAGCTCCCCTACCCTTCCGCAACAGGCCACAGACCTGCCAGGCTCAACCCTACCTTTGGACACTGAAAGGGGTTTATAACCCAGTGCTGAAATCTCAGTTACAAATGTGGAGATGGAGAAAAGTGATTCTTACCCAGAAGCCTCTGCTCATTTACTCAGAATCCTGCTTCTGCTGCCAGGTTACCCACAACCCTCTGCCCGGGGGGTATGTTACCCAGAATCCTCTGCAGCCAAATAACCCACAGCCCTCTGCCCGGGGGGGTGCGTTACCCAGAATCCTCTGCTCTGCAGCCAAATTACCCACAACCCTCTGCCCAGGGGGGTATGTTACCCAGAATCCTCTGCAGCCAAATAACCCACAGCCCTCTGCCTGGGGGTGCGTTACCCAGAATCCTCCTCTGCTCTGCAGCCAAATTACCCACAGCCCTCTGCCCGGGGGGTGCGTTACCCAGAATCCTCCTCTGCTCTGCAGCCAAATAACCCACAGCCCTCTGCCCGGGGGGTGCGTTACCCAGAATCCTCTGCTCTGCAGCCAAATTACCCACAGCCCTCTGCCCGGGGGTGCATTACCCAGAATCCTCCTCTGCTCTGCAGCCAAATTACCCACAGCCCTCTGCCCAGGGGGGTATGTTACCCAGAATCCTCTGCAGCCAAATAACCCACAGCCCTCTGCCCGGGGGTGCGTTACCCAGAATCCTCCTCTGCTCTGCAGCCAAATTACCCACAGCCCTCTGCCCGGGGGTGCGTTACCCAGAATCCTCCTCTGCTCTGCAGACAAATAACCCACAACCCTCTGCCCGGGGGGGTGCGTTACCCAGAATCCTCTGCTCTGCAGCCAAATTACCCACAGCCCTCTGCCCGGGGGGTGCGTTACCCAGAATCCTCTGCTCTGCAGCCAAATTACCCACAACCCTCTGCCCTAGGGGGTATGTTACCCAGAATCCTCTGCAGCCAAATAACCCACAGCCCTCTGCCCGGGGGGGGGGGTGCGTTACCCAGAATCCTCTGCTCTGCAGCCAAATTACCCACAGCCCTCTGCCCAGGGGGGTATGTTACCCAGAATCCTCTGCAGCCAAATAACCCACAGCCCTCTGCCCGGGGGGGTGCGTTACCCAGAATCCTCTGCTCTGCAGCCAAATAACCCACAGCCCTCTGCCCGGGGGTGCGTTACCCAGAATCCTCCTCTGCTCTGCAGCCAAATAACCCACAACCCTCTGCCCAGGGGGGTATGTTACCCAGAATCCTCTGCTCTGCAGCCAAATTACCCACAGCCCTCTGCCCGGGGGGTGCGTTACCCAGAATCCTCTGCTCTGCAGCCAAATTACCCACAGTCCTCTGCCCAGGGGGTATGTTACCCAGAATCCTCTGCTCTGCAGCCAAATTACCCACAGCCCTCTGCCCGGGGGTGCGTTACCCAGAATCCTCTGCTCTGCAGCCAAATAACCCACAGCCCTCTGCCCGGGGGTGCGTTACCCAGAATCCTCTGCTCTGCAGCCAAATAACCCACAGCCCTCTGCCCGGGGGTGCGTTACCCAGAATCCTCTGCAGCCAAATAACCCACAGCCCTCTGCCCGGGGGTGCGTTACCCAGAATCCTCTGCTCTGCAGCCAATTACCCACAACCCTCTGCCCGGGGGGTGCGTTACCCAGAATCCTCCTCTGCTCTGCGGTGTCGGGTAAATGGCCCCGGCTCTCTCTCTCTCTCTCCCTCCCTCAGCAGCCGCCGCCACCGGTCGCTGCGCCCCCCGCCCGGGCCGAAGCCGCCGCCATGGCAACTTCCAGCCCCTCTGGCTCCGCCCGCTCAACCACTCCTCGGGCTAAGCGTTTCCCTCGCCTGGCAGGCGCGGCTACCAATGAGAGGGCACGCTCAGAGGCGAGAGCCAATCAGAGAGCGGCGGAGGCGGGAATAACAGGTTGGGGCGGCCTGCGCAAGCTTGGTAGAGAGAACAGGACGGGCGGGCGGAGGGGACAGAGCGAGCCGAGCCCCTCGATTAACGGCTGCGAGTCCGATAAGACTTAAAGGGCCAGCAGCACCCTCATCCCCAGAGCCCTCCCCAGCTCTCCCATGCCCCAGTAACTTTCCATTTCTATATTTTTTTCCAGGATAGTGGCATTTAACTATATATAACCCCCCCCCCAAACAACGTCCCTGGAAGGCGAGATGGGGGAGCCCCAGGGAGCATGAAACCCACAGCAAGTCCAGAAGGCAGCATCTCATGGGACCGTCCTTACTGCCAAAATCTGAGCTGGGAGCCCCCTGTGACATGAGTTTGGTGGGTCTCAGTCATGTCCCCCTAACAATTACCCACCATTGAATTAACACCCATCAGCCCTCCACCCTTCTTCCCAGCAAAGTGGTCAGGGGATGAATGGGCCATGAATGCCAAACTTGCCCTCTAGAGGTTGCCTCTCCAGGGCAGCCTTGAGGCACAGCGTGGGGCAAATTTCTCACCTGGTCCCTGGGATGTAAATCACCCATATCTGGTCCTGTGAAGGATCTCAGTCTAATCTATCTATCTACCCATCCATCCCCATGCACACCCAGCTATCTATCTATCTATCTCCAGACACACCCATCAATCTATCTATCTAATCATGTCCCCTATCAACCGAGCAGCTCGTCACATCCACCCAAAGACACCTTTACCAGGCAGAGAGATGAGCTATTAAAATGAGCAGCCTCTCACTAGCCTCTCGCGGCCGCTCTAGGTCGCGACCCTTCTTGAGCCAAATTCTCATCCTCATTGACACTGCTGTAAACCCAGAGTGGTGCCTTCAAAGTCACCAGCAGAGCTGAGCTCATGCGCTGGCCCCTTAGGTCTCTCAAACCCCTGAAAAAACCCAGCATCCATCCCAGCTTCCAAGGACATGTCTAGGACTTCAGAAGGAACCCAGGTTTGTTGCTCTAAGGTGGTGGTTTGCCACCTTTTCCATCCTGGGACCCCCTTCCCATCCCTTCCCTTTTAGCGATACAATGAGGCCGATTGTTGGTAACTCCTGACAGCTGTTCCCCACCCCCAGGGGTGTCATGCCCCAGAGGGAGAGGAGGGACCTCACTAGTGATGTGTATGTAGTTATTAATCAATGTATTTAGTTATTAGTCTAAATTTTGGTTGTTACAAACTTGCCTTCATTTTTGGGAGACACTTATTTACAATTCCTTCCATACACACGGCGCCCAGAGAACACATCAGGGCTTCTGGTTATTTATTTACTGACACAAAATGTTCAAGCCAATTAAGGAAGTTCCTAGGAAATCTCTGCTTTCTGTCAACCGGTGGCAGGTACCGAAGGCCGGATCCTCAGAGGGCTTTAACTCCCATGGGCGTTAGCCACCCGAGTGTCAAGAAGGATGAGATCTCCTTGGTGACCCTGGAAGGCAGCTTTAGAACTTGTCTTCTGCGTTTAACATTCTGTGCTGTGCTCTATTAGACTGTGTTCATTGTTCATTCCGATGATTCATAGTTTCCAGCCAGAAAGGGCCACTGACCCCCTGGATCTCACCGGCCCTAGGGCTGCCCTGAACCGAGAGTTGTACAGAATATTTGATAGGCGTCGTCAGTTGCAAACTGTAAATCTAGGTTGTAAATCCAGGAGCCTTTTGGGCCGAAGGCAAACAGCCGACAAGTGCGGCTCTGAACATACCAGCCCCTCCTCCTTCCACACCTGCCTTGTGGTTCGGTCCACACTGGAACCCGTCCGCTGGGGAGAGAGATGCAATGCCTTCCTTGCCTGACACCAATCTGTGGCTGTGCACTGGATTTTGCTGGCCTAGTTTCCCTAGCTGTGTGCATCCCTGACACCTCGTCCGATTTCAGACCACATCCTGCCTGCCCTGCTGCCCCCTGGACCTGCTCGGATGAAAAGAGCTGCTCCGAGGGACAAAGGCAAGGGTGTCCTTAGCCCTGAGGCCCCGGACCTCAAAGGCGTATAGGAGTTAGGTGCCTAAATACCTTGAGAACCTTCCTGCCGGCTGGGTTTCCCGTGTCTCTAGGCTGCTGGATCTCCTGGCCCACAGAGAAACCAGGGAATCCCCCCACCTGACAGACCAGGGAGGCAGGAAACTCCAGGATGACTCTATGGGACAGGCTCTGGCTGGAGCTGCCCCCAGAGACGTGTCACTCACCCGTCTATTGGATCAAAGCAACAGGTTCAGTGTGTTGGTGTCTGGGTGCTGTGGTGGATCTGAGCGAAGGGCCCAGCTGGCCTGGTAACCCGTGTCCGAGAGCGAGGTGCAAGACACCCAGCAGGAGAGGGTTCTGGGACACTGGCCTCCAGGGGAAGGTTCCTCCTTACCCCTGCCCCGCCCTAGAGTAAAGGCCAGGTCCTGCCCTGGAGCTGGGGGCTTTATAGCACAGCCAGAGCACTGGTTAATGGCTTTAATCCCTCCCATGGTTATTCTAGATATTCTTGTCTCCATCACCAGTCTCCATAAGTCCCACTCCAGCCATCGCCCACTTTCCCTCTCTCTACTCCTCTCCCTCTCTTCAGCCCCACCGATCCTGGCCACACCGAAAGCAGAAGCAGGTGCCAGAAAACTCACTGTGGACCCCAAGTGCTGCCAGCGAAAGCAGGCACTCTAGGGTGGGGGGACGGCACAGCCCCAGGGGCTCCAGGCTGGGGGGTGGGCAGTGGTGGTGTCACGCAGGGGCCAGGTCAGAGCCCCACCCCACAGGCTGGTCGGGTTCTGGTCGCAAAGAGCCAGTTTCTCTCTCTCACCCCATACACCTCTAATCTGTATCTCCCATAGGCCCATCTAGCTATCCAGCCCACTCCGCCCAGCCCCGGCACCAATGTGCCGGGCCATGCTGGCATTCCAGCCTTGCCCCGGGCCGATGGCGCGAGGTCGAGGTTACGCACTTCCCTAGCCTCATAGCATTCCCCCTGCTTTCCCCCTCCATGCCTGCCGAGATCAGCGAGCCCATTGATAAAAACCCAGAGAGGGAAGTCATTCTACTATAACATCCCATTTCCCCTTTTGCACCATGGCCCTGCGGCTGCTCTGGGTGGGGGGCCGGGCAGGCCCCAGAATACAGGGAGCCCCGAGGGGTTCAAGGCCTGGCCCCGCCCCCCCCAGTTCTGTCCCTGCCCCAAGGCCAGGATGGCCGGCCGTTTAGGCCAGACCCATTTCACGACTGCTGCCCCACTGCCCAGAGTGGGGTTTGTTCGCCAAGGGGCACCGGGAGGGCAAAGCCTGGGAGAGTCCCTGGGAAGAGAAAACTCCCCCTTGGCCCATCCCCCGGGTCTCGTTCCAGCTGGCACCTCGTCCCTGCGGGGCTCGGGAAGGGCTGTGTTGCAATCCGTGGATTTCACAGCTGCGTGCAGTACGCTCCTGTGCAATGCGGGATTGCTGCGCCCGGCGGGTGGGGAGGGGC